ATATACCTGTGTACATGTTTGTGTGTTAATGTGTGCGCATGTATATATTTGGCATGCCTATCGATGTACACAGACTTATAAGTTAGAAACCCTTGCATTGAATCAGTTGAAATAACATGATCAATATCATAAAGATGAAGGTCTATTTGTGGAAGGGGAGGCAGGTGTTAAACACGAATGTTTTTTTCCATTTCAGCATGGTTCAAAGTAAAATGAAATATAAATACCTAATGACGGGAAGCCTATTAGTGTGTGCCATAGTGCTGATGCAATACTGGAGAAAAAGGTGAAGAGCGAGCTCTGGAATTCATATTTATTTATCTATATCAAGACCATTACGTGATCGTTCAGACTTCTCTGATGACCTTGTGGTTCCAGAAGGTCTACCCACCACAGGCAAACAGATGCAGAGGATTGCTGTGCTGAATAACATCGTCCTTTTGGCCCCATGTTCCAGCAGTGCCTGGCTGCTTCATGTGCACCACACGAGAGATGAAAGTCAGTGTTGTATTAATCAATTAGGTTCTGCCTTTGTGTCAACTGGTTATTAAGGCAGGCTTTGTCCTCTCTCCTGTTTGGGCATAGAGGAATTTCCTGGGTAGCTTGACACCTCAAAGCAGGGCAGGCAGTGCTGCTCTGATTCAGGCATGTTTGGAATCTGAGTTGGATGCCTCTGTGTTTATTCACATCGAGTTACAATTTATTTTGTGAATAACCCCACTGACTTCAAGGTAACCATTTGCATAGGGAGATACACTGCTTAACGTGAGCAAGGGTGGCAGAGTCTGGCCTGTGGTACTTGGATGCCCACAACAAAACCCTCCTGTCATCACTGGAGCTGACGTGGTGTCAGAAACAATCACAGCTCAAAACTAGCTGCTGCCTCAGCCGGGATGTAAATGGCTGTTTCTGGAATAGACAGAAAGTCCTACTGTTGTATGAAGTGAAAATATTCAGGTACTGCAGGAAGATGTGCAAATGAGAATTGCTTTCACAGATGTTTGGGGATGGACACTGGTTGCCCCTTTCATTTCTAGCTGAAAGGGGAGAAGGACGTTGCATCACGAAGTGCAGCCCGTAACTCGGATGGGCAGTGAACAGGTGGTACATTGTTTGCCAGGCTATTTCATATCATGGAAACCAGTTGTCCAGTTTTAGATTGCTATTACCAGCAGTGTATCTTTTAGTTATGAGAAAGAGAAGACGTTATTTAAAACTTAGACTGCCCCTGTTTGCCTTTCAGAGCATGCCAAGTGGTTTTTAAAAAAGGAATGCTTAAAGATCACAGGCATTTTCCATGAACCTACTTAATGCAATTCTTATTTACTTCGAGTGTGAAATAAATATGCTGAGAAAGAGCTGGTTTAGCAATTCAGTTCAGTCAGACATGCACAGATATATTCAGGAATGGGTGTTTGGGGCTCAGGCGAGGCTGAACAAGAGGGACAAAGAAAGGACTAGTAATGATCTCTTGGGGGGTTCTTCATTTTTACTGTGGATACACAGCCTGCTTGGATGCAGTGCATCCAGGACCTCAGATATGTGGAGCTGGATGTATAAAAGGTGGTTACTCCTCCAGTGTCTCTCGAGTCAGGACAGAGGGATTATTTACAAAAGTCACCTATGGGCTCTCAAACCCAGAAGCTCCTCTTCCAAAATGCAGCTTAAGAAATGTGCTGGAGGTGGGCCAGTATGAAGGGAACCCAGCCCGTGGTAAAGCAGGGTGATTATACTGGGTCACCCAAACACATTTTATACTTTCAAGAGTATGAAGGATTATGTAATTTTTAAGCTTCCTCTATAGAAGTATCATACCTGAGACTCCTAAATGCCCAAAAGATACAAGTGCTCAGTGACTCTGGAGAGGAATGGCAGTGGGGAAGGAACTGTTGGTTTGGAGAGAGAGACGTGGTTCAGGAGCATCAGACGTCCTTGGGAGGAGAAAGTAAGAACCCAGCTGATTGCCACAGATATTTGAGCTGTAACATAAGAAATTTGTTTGTCTCCTAAATCTTCAAGTTTATATCTTCTGTTCACCTGCTGCCTTATGTTAGGCTGTACAGGACCAGATACACTATTTTGTGCATTAACAATAAATTTATAGTAAAGTTGGGGTAGCTCATGGAGCCTAGTACCATACACTTCTTAGTGTACATATATGTGCCTGAGATTTAGTCCTGCCACCTGCCTTGTTCGCATCCTTTGGGAGGGAATCCCAAAATGACCACACAGTGTCCTCTGCTAAGGCTGACTTTCCTGCTTCTTAAGGGGCACCTTGATGTTACAGCTGAGCAGCAGAGACAAGGGCTAAGTGGGACATCCCTTCTCTTCCCCTGCCACCAGCAACCCACTTCCCCTGGGATCACAGATTAAATATAAGGAGGAAATTTTTCATGCAGAGGGTGGTGAGGCCCTGGCACAGGCTGCCCAGAGAAGCTGTGGATGCCCCATCCCTGGAGATGCTCAAGGCCAGGCTGGATGGGGCTTTGGGCAGCCTGGGCTGGTGGGAGGTGTCCCTGCCCATGGCAGGGGCTGGGACAAGGTGATTGATGAGGTCCCTTCCAACCCAAACCATTCTGTGATTCTGTGATCTAGCACTTGGGTAGTCACAGTCCACTCATTTGATGGCTTGATGGCTATGTCTGTGAAAAGAAGAAATCGAATAGGCCAGCTTAGCAGCACTGTCCACTTAGTGCCTACATTTGTGTGTTTGTACGCACATCTGTGCATTTGCCCTGGTCTTGGAAAGCAGAGGCTTTTCTTGGTGCATTCCCATTCAAGATTTCTTAGTATGCATTAAGTTGCAAATAAGTGCTGCCAATTCTTTCATGGCATTTGTTTTGGTCTGAATAAAGTTCGTTAACATGTTTATCTTCATTTAAGAGTTAGTTTTTCTTTCCTGCTGCTGTTTCTAAAGCTATTGCAGTTTGCCAAGAATCTAATCTATATCAAATAAGATTTCATGACAAATGACTTCGAACCTGCTAAAATATTCACTGATTTTCTTCAATTGCTAGCTTTAAGTTCCCCAAATTTTTAACAGCTGTCACAACCCATTTTTAAGATACTGACTGTTACATGAGCTCCTCAAAGTGTGAAAAGGGATGGAAGTTGCAAGACAGTGCTTCCCAGGCAGAAGTATGTATGTGCGTTGGTACCGATGCGGATTTTAGAAACCAGAGCCTTATTGCCATATAATGCTTAGTGTTGCATCTGGGGATGCGTAAAGATTCCTCTTTCCCAATCATATTAATTCCCCTATGCTTATATTTTCTTTTTTCAAAATGTACATATTTCAGCTGCAATTATTAAATAGCAGTCATACTTGATTTTCTCTCTCTCATGTCTTCTGGCCCTAAATTTACTCTGCTTACTGCTATTGATTGCATAGATATCATGTAATAATCAGAAGTCAGATCTTCCGTACTTTGTATGATGCTTATGGAATTTTACTACTTCTATTTAGGAAATCAGGGAATTTTTACACAGAATCACAGAATTTCTAGGTTGGAAGAGACCTCAAGATCATCGAGTCCAACCTCTAACCTAACACTAACAGTCCCCACTAAACCATATCCCTAAGCTCTACATCTAAACGTCTTTTGAAGACTTCCAGGGATGGTGACTCCATGGGATGGAGTCACCATCCCTGGAAGTCTTCAAAAGTCTTCTTCCCTTTACTGATTCTATTTAAAATAAATAACTTTATCTTTGAAATAACAGCTTAAAAATTGAGCATACAGGAGATTTCAACAATTGTGAAATCCCTGCAAAGTGGAAAAATATTCCAGAGTATTCCAGACACAGAAATTGAATTATTCAGTTGTAATTATTCAGTTAAATAGATGGTAATGCTTCTGGCAATGACCGGGGAAGTAATTTAGTCCCCAAAAGAAAATTCTGTGTTGGAATACAACATCTTTTAAAACCAGAGGCTAATAGAGCACTGGTGAGGGAACTGTCCTTTTGGATAGGATTTTTTTTTTTTCCCCAGAAATCTCTCTGTAGATAAAAAGAGATGAGGAAGAGAATGAATGGAGACATTTTAATCTAAATAATTTTCTCTGACAGCATAACCTTTTTTTTTTTTTTTTTTTTTTACTGTTACAGACATTCTGATTAAAGTTTAGAAATGGTGCCATTGCCTAATTATTAATACTGTGAGAGTCACACAGCTAAAATGTGCTTGCAGGAAACATCTGTATATATTTTTATACAGTACAAGATTATACAAATCTTAGAAGTCTTCCTCTTATAGGTACTTGGTGTCAGTGAGGCATTTGGGGCTTCTAGATGGAGGTTTGAGTGTTTTCTGTGTGTGTGTTGGTGTGGGATTTTTATTCCTCCATCTGCAAGACTCTTGTCCTTGTAGGAAAAAATAACTTATTCCAAAAGAAGTGTCAACAAACTTAGGAGGAATTATATGTTTTCTTCGGTGATCCTATGGTCCACAGAGCCATTAGTCTTTAGGAGCAGAACTGTTTCTTACTTTGGGGTCTAATGATTTGTTGAGATAGGTCTGTAATGCTCTATGATGAATGCAGTGCTATGAATCTAAGGTAACATTTTACTTTTTCTGAAATAACACAGAGAGATGTCGTGCAACTTGAGGTGTTGTAGTTTATCAGATACATCTTCTTTCAGTGCTCAATTTAGTTCAAGTGGGTTTCTGGAGAGATTAGACATTTCTACCTGTGATGCTGCAGATGGCACCAACCGTGTAGCATTACAGAAAGACATGGAAATACATTGCCTGCCAGAACAGATCCTATGAAGATGAGGGAAAAACTGGGACTTTTCCTAGAGTAAATTTCAAATACCATTTTTTAAATTTTTAAATTATTTAAATTTCTATTACAGCTGTATTTGTTGCTAATCTTGAGATTATACTATTTTGACAAGCTTGTAGTTAAAGATCTTAATCCATATTTTGAATGCAAAGAAAAGATGAATTTGAAAAATGAAAATGCAATGAAAACCCCTTCTTTTTTTCTCATCAGATCCTTCAGATGATGAAACAATTGAGAAACCAAGTGATAAGACAGCAATACATCAAGATCCAGATTCCAAACCTGCTGTGAAAAAGAAAAGAAAACAGGTCTGTAAGTTTAGCAATTATGCAGAGCACTTAAATGATACCGTGTCGGGGAATGTAGTCCCCATTCTTCCACTAAAGGGACAGATTTCTTCACTTTTTGTCTAATCTGTTCATGTAATAAGATTTTTATCATAAATTGGGAGGGGGTTAATTATTTTTGCAGTATTTGAAAGTGGTCTCATTCAAGTATAGTTCAATCATAATTTAGCTCTTGCTTTGTGTGAGTTGATATTGCCAAGCTGGTCGCCTGCAAAAGTGACTGTCTAAGGATAAATGCCTGAGTGGTGTTACCACTGTTTTATCCTCTTCCCTGTATACACAAGGTCTTGAAAGCTGTGTTTTAAACATTGTATGACATCTTCACCCATGCATGTCCCCTTTGAAATGTCCACATGAGGAAGAATTTAGGTCTACACGGATTGATGTTTCCATAACTTTGCACTGCTAAAAGCTTCCTTTAGAACCATTAAGAACTTTGTTGTTCATCGGTATGTGGAATACACCCAGGAAACAGCAGCAAGGTCATTGGCAGATAGCATCACTTTAGCAGAGCTAGAGCTCAGCTGGTTTTAAGAAGTCTCTTGTCTGAAAATTAGTTTCTTCTGTCTTCCTGGTATCGAACTGGAGAATGGACTGAATGCTTGTCAAGGAGCTAAAATGACATTGGTGGCTATCTCTCCTTGAAGTTATGGATATTAATTTAGACCCTAGGTCAGTATTAAATTCACGGTATGATGCCTAGGCAATAGACCAAGTGAAAATCATTTGTAGGTATGTTTTTTTTAGTAACAGAGAAGTGTAAGCAATACAGTAATTACCATGCATTTGGGTGTCTTTCCAAGGGGACCAAGGGTGAAGTGAGCCAAATGTCTGAACTGGTTCCATATTTTGATTAGGAAAGAGAGAACTGAGCAATACAGCAGAAAGCTGTATTGCCCTTCTACACACCTTACCTGGGAATCAGATGTGAGGAATTCAACTCAGTGAGAATGCCTATGGAGCCCTTTTTTATCAACACTATCTTCATGTACACATTTAGAACAAAGTTAAGATGGTTTATTTGGAGGAGTTGCTTTGTTCATTCTGTGAGAACACTAGAAAGGATAGCCAACACAGGTTACCCTCCTGAGGTAGACTTGGTCTGCTCACCTGTAGCACAACACCTGCCCCAGCTCTTCTTTTAATATAAAGAATATCAGTCTGTATTTTGGAGCAGGATAAGTTGATCTTCAGTCATGAAACTCCTGGGTGCAAAGGTTTTGTGGGAACTCAGTCATGTGTGTGCTGTTGTCTTTTAGAGCAAAACACTTGCAAAGTTGGATGTACTTACAGAACGCCAGTAGGTTTGTAGTTCTGGTGCATGTGACATAACCTATTCTACTCACTCATCTCTGCCTTATTCATGGGCTGGAAGCTATTCTGCAGTGGACTTGGCATCTTAAAGCCAGTCAGGAGACAGCCAGATAGAATTATGAACATTTATGTTTCCAGTCTGCAGACTGTCCACAGACTTACAATGAAATGAATGATTTGTCTCCAATCTGAATGGAGCATTGATGTGTTTACTTTGTCACGAACTCCAAAAGTCAGAGTATATGGCTGACCTAGAATGTAAACTTTCACACACACACAAGAATGTTTTCACTTTACATTTGAATTTCCAGTAACTTGGCAACATGTAAAGAAAAAAAAAAGTTGTGTTAGAAATATAATACAGGAAATATTTTATGTTATGTCCATGATTAACAAACAAGGAATTTATGACATTTTAGTTCATAAATCAGTGGTCTCAGCACAAATTTCCTGTTTTCTGCATTTTAAGAACTTCCATGTAAAAATAGCATAAAAACACAGAGCACAGGGGAGCCATGTCAAAACCCAGCAGGTTGTCTGCTCTGTGTCTTGCATAAGAAAAACATGCAAATGACCTTTTCCTAAGGGTGCCGTGCAAAGAGCTATTGCATGAGTAGGTAGGCAACTAACATTTGGTTAAGGGTCAGAAGTTCAGTCTAGATCAGATGCCTAAATATTTTGGATTATAGATCATCAAAGCCATGTAGATTTACAGCCATTCACCACCATGAAGTTTATTTTTCTCTTATGGCATTATTTTTAATGTCTGAATAAGGTGGACACTTGTTAACAGCATGCCATGCCTAAATATATATACATGCTGCTGTAAAGGAGTTTTTTTTCAGTCCTGACATGATTCTCTGAGGAAGCAAGGCATTCCCTACAAGCCCGCTGTGTACTTCTGTTGTCATCAAAAGAAAAGGCTACACACTGCCTTCAAAAAGGAAGCCAAGACATTTGATGATACTTTTAAGCATTTGAATGAAGGGTTACCAGTGAGAAAATATTGTTTCTCTTAGAGACTTCTTTTCAGCTCTGCATTTTGTTCTTTTTCACATACATGTAGATACTGTTTGGGAGCGCACAAGGTGTTTTGCAGATGTATATAAAACAGTTCACAATGTTTGTGAAGGAAGAAATGAGCCCAAAGTGAATGAGTGGCATTTTTCTGTATTCTGAAAGGCTCATAAACAGTGGTGACATTTTGTAGGATAAGGAACCATCATATTCTACGGGAAGAATGAGATTCAGATTGGCTCCATTCTGGCTTTTTGATTGCTTGGTAGTGTCTGTTGAGTAAATCAATCCAAAGGCTTGTTCTCTATGTAGAATGTAATGGTAAATATGGAATTTATGGTTAAAACACCTGGCAAGTGGTCTTCAAGTATCTATGGACAGCTGGGATGCATAAGGGTAGAGCAGGACCTGAAGGCAGAGGGTAGCTCTGTTTCTGTCTGAATGTCTGGGAATGCTAACAACAGGGCTAGGAATGAGGAAATGTATGGTGTTGTTCTTAATAAGCACTTGAATCTGAGTCAGGACGGAGATTTAAAAAAAATAAACAAAAATAAAAACACAAAACTTATGTTAAACCTGGAATGACTTAGCTGAAGTGAACAGTACTTGCTGTATCTTGATTTTTAGTGAAAATAGTATCTGCTTATTCCTGACAAAATCACAGGGACAGATCTTTACTTGCTGAGGGAAGATACATTTCCAACCACAGCTTCTCATGGCTAGGTATTGATTCAGGCTGCATTAGATTCCAGCCCTAGCTACTGAGTGCTTTGCCTACTCTAGCCAGTCCCCAGACAAATCTGCTCTGGTAGCTCCTAATTATAATGTAAAGCCTCAACCAGTTTCAGACACAATTTTATACATTACTGCTACTTTAGCAACTGCAGTGATTGTATCGTGACACAGAAAATGGGAGTAATCAATAGAGGTCATTTGTTTGTGGGGAACATGGTTGTTCCCTGTTTTCTATAACTACATTATCAAGGCAAGTCGGGAGAAAGGGGGAAGTGAAGACATAACATGAACAATTAAACTCCCCCAAACACCTTTGATAAAGATATGAGAGTGGGCATGGAAAGGTACAAATGTGCTGGCCAGGCTCATTTGGTGCAAGTTGTCATGAAGCGCCCTCCTGTCAGGGTGGCAGTGCAAGAGGTGGTTGGAGGGGCTCAGCTATTCTGAGCATCTGTTAACTTTCCTTTGACCCTGTTGAAGGTACCCTAACAAGGGAATGAAGGAGCAAATCCTCTGACTTTCAGCCAGGCTCCTTTTCCTGCTGATCCTTTGCCTCCAGGCTCAGGGACTGGTGGTCCATGAGCTATTAATGTACGATGTTGATGAGATTTCTCCATGGCCTCTCACAGGAGCAGATTTTTCCAGGCAAATGCATCCTAGTATCAAGGAGTTTTTTCCTGCAGCTCAGCCCATTTTCCCCTTCCTTCTCTGAGTCCTTTATAAACCTGTGTATGCAGAATCATTTGCATTTCCAGGAAGTGGAAGTCCCTAAGAAAGAAAAAGAGAAGAGAATTGCTATGCTTGTAAACCTGTACCTTGCTTCCTCTCTTGGACAGCTTTAGGTGGCTTTCAGACAAATCCTAACCCTGATTTATGTGAACAGGGACTCTGTTACAAATGGACCGGTTCAGCCTGCTCGCTCAGGCACAAATGTGGGTTAAAAATCGCAACACATGTGTTGGATGAAGATTATTCTGAAATGCAACATGTATTTTTCTTACACACATTTGACCCTGCCTGCTATGAGAAGACAAAGCACAAATGGGGCAGAACAAATCTGAAACATGTTTTCCTAAATTTTGCATTACAAATGTCAAAGGAAATGCAGAGCATGATTATTGACAATTATTCTCACCCTTTTCTACCGTCTTTCACCATCTGGATGTTCACATTAGACCCAGATATTTCAGAGCGTTATTGGCAAAATTTGGAAAAATGATCACATGCAATAATAGAGATTAAAAGTATATAGTTGTTGACATGTTTTGTTCATGTTTTCCTCTTTTTTTATTTTTAATTTATCAAAACCCACTTCTCTTTATTTTATGAAAATGTGACTGCAACCTGTATGATTCAGCTTTCCATTCTTTTATTCCTCTCTTGGTTACAGCAACATAGATCTCAAGTCCAAAATTACTTCAGATATAGGTAACTGTAAGAAATTGATCTCTTCTACAGGTGGGGACATTTGGGTTTGTTTGTTTTCCCTAGCCAGCATTATATTTCCTGTATTCCTTTCTCTCTTGCTTCCCTTTGTTGATTTTGTTTTTTCCAGGTGATCAGATATCTGATACTGAATCTTTTTTTTTTTTTTTTGAATATGTGCTTTGCAGCCTACAGAGTGTTTTCTTAGTCAGCCCGAAGAAAAACAACAAGAGAGCGCTGTAAAAGCAAAGAAGAGAAAGAAGGTATGAACGTCCTGGGGGTGTGGGTGGTGTTGTATAATTTTGGGACAACCGTGTGATGTGAAGCAGCATAACATTGCAGCCTTTTTCAGATAAGAGTAGAAATTCACACTTTTTTGACTTTACTCAAAATACCCGTTCCTCACCTGAACTGAAACCCGCTCAAGGGTTTTTACATCCACATACAGCTTGCAGGTGTGGCACACTGGGAAAATGTAACTATCAAAGAAAGGTGGCATTTCATTCTGCAGAATCTGCCCAGTTTCAGCTGTGTGGCACGGCTTCAGCTTCTGTCACATCCTTTGCACCAAGAACTGTCCTCATTCCCTCTTCTCCTCCTAGCATAAGTATATAAATAAATACTCTGGATTGCCCCCCTGGCCATGCTCCATCCTCACCCTCAACAGCACACACACTCTGCAGGCTAGATGGAAATAACATGGCATCAAGCAAGTTAATTGTCATTTGGGACAGCCTGTGTAAATATTTGGCTCCTTCACAAGGCAGAGAGGTGGCTTTTTTATATTATGTCAGGCCTCTTAGTCAGCTGGGGAATGGGAAGAAGGAAGAGTGGGATTTAGCTTTAAATGCAGCTCTGGCAAAGCGACCGCAGAGCTTGATCCACTGCTGCCAGAGTGAAAGCATCCCACCACAAGAGTGGTGAACCAGCCCTAGCAAAGAGACCCCATTCCCTGGCAAACAACAGGCACTTGGTTACACCTTTAGTTTCACTGGCACACTAGGGCAACTGAGTTAACATACACAGCCTGTTAGCAAATTCATCAGGAAATATTTATCAGGCTGATCTATTGTTTCCAAACAAACTGCAGTCTCCAAAAAAAATAAGGAAAAAAAAAAAAAGGAAAAAAAGAAGGAAGGAAAAGAAAAACTTTACTGTTAAGCATCTGGAACAAATTGGAAGAAAAATAATAAAACTTCCTGCGTGAGGAATGTTTCCCCACAGCTCTCCTCGAAGGAAGAGAGTTTGCTCAGGTGTCCTTGCTCATACTCTTACGGACTTTCTTGTTAGTATTAGGCTTCTCCCCTCAAGAGTGCTGTAATTTTCCTGGAGGGATCAAGTGGCCCAGAGAGTGATATAATGGTCCTGAGGAACAGCCACTTACGCTGAGTTACCAAGTGAAAGGAGTCTGATACTTCTGTGTTATTATCTGCTAAAGAAGAGGTTCCCAAATGCGGGTCACTGAAGAGGCTGGGGCTGAAGAAGAGCATTTCTCCCTAGTGCCCTGCCTTCAGTATTTGTTAGGAATAACAAATAAAAGGTTTGTTTGTAGGCCTCATGAGAAGGCTGTGCGTACTGCAGGTGGCCTGTGGCCATGCCTGGGAAAGACAATTATTGCAAGGCAGAAAAATACAACAGTGTAAAATGGCGCTGAAGCTTGTGAAGGAATGCCACAGGTTCAGGCACTACAGAAGCCAACCAGCTGCATATCTACTGAAAGTCTTCCAATGACTGGAGGGGGGTTTGGGTCATGCCAAAGGTAGGCCAAGAGGAAGGTTTAAGCACTACAGATACCCACCACCCCTCCACAGCTGCCAAAAGTGGTTCTAGGCCCACCTTGTCCCTCCACAGTCTCACTTTCCCTCACAGATATATATCCCGTTGCCATGTCCTAGCCACACTCTTCATCTCTTTTTCACTTCCAGGCTTATACTGCCACACATCCTCATGGCAGCAAGTTAATTTTAGCTTACGCAGCTGAGAAACCTCAAGCTGGCCTTTCACAAATTAATCGTTTCTCAGTGAGAATGGATGAGGCTTCAGATCCGTGCCATTCTCTCCAGACTGCCTCTATCTGTGAAAATCTGCTGTAATCTAAAATGCTGGCAGATCATTCAGGTAACAGGAATATTGAGCTGGTCTACCACCGTGATCCATTTAATTATGTGAAAAAATGCAACAATACTTTCTTTTCAGTGAAAATTCAGAGCTGTTATTTGCTAACATTCCTAAGGCATAAAACTCAATCTCCGTGAATTCATGTTAAGGCTCAAAAAAATGTTTGGTTTAAAAATATATGTATAGTCTGGAGGAGCAAAACAGATGCTGAACTCTTTCTGCTAGACTTCTGTTTTTGTGAACTTTGAACTCATTTTCATCATACTTCCCGTGATATGATGTATACTATTAGTCTAGCTTACCACCTTTTCTTCCAAAAAGAGATAGTTGTCCTATTTTACTCAAATTATAGGTGTTTTACACAATCATTTGATTCCTATAATTAATGCTTGAGTAATAACGGTAATAAAAAAAAATAATAAATCAAATTTCAAACTGATACTTAAGTGTAACAACAGCAAACCCCACAAAAACAGCTTTCATTTATGTTTTAGATATGGTGGCGTTTTAGGTGAGTGAACAAGATTTTTTTATCTTCAGGGTCTTGGACCATTGTTGTCAAAGTATCTGGACTTGCTTCTGAAGTCTTCATTCCCACTAAACACAGTTTTGTTCCATTGTAAGAGCTTTTCCTAATTAAGCTCTAATTAATCCAATTACCTTTATGAAATTATGGAGGAACATTTATTTACTATGTTGTTAGCTACTGAAAGAGCAAAAATGGTATCCTACCATACTTAACCCTGTTGCTTGTTTTTTAGAAGAAAATATCTGATGTTCTGGAAAAATCCTCTCCGAAACCTGGTGTCCCTGAGGATCTACAGAATCTGCTTAGTCAACATTTTGGTGCAAGACGTTCAGTGATTGAAATAGAGGAATTAACACTGTCAGGTAATTTATCCTATATTAATAGATAAATAATGTGACACTGGTGAATTCTTTTTCCGTAGAAGAATAGGGATTTTTTTCAGACAGGTCTTAAGAGTTGTACTTTTTATTGAAATATTTTATTATACTGTATATATTTTATACTTTGCTCTTTAGTAAATAAGTTAATTTATTTTGAACAAATATTAGGATTTCTTCGAGTTGCAAGAGTGAAAAGAAAAAAAACACCATTTTTGTTTCTCTTTATTATAAAGAATTAATTTTAGGAGCTCACCTTCCTCATAGAAATTGTATGATTCCTTAGTATGTTCCAAGACACTGACTGAGAAAGAGAGTGAAAATAGTTTTCATTTCTGGGATTATCTGCATCTATCCAGATGCATAATAAGAGGGCTGAGAGGAGTAGACAAAACAGTAACAAAACATGATTCTGACATGGTTATGAAATATTGAACACAATGGATTTTCAGGGAGTGGCATGAAATGAGATGGTAGTTTTGGTCCAAGTTTAAAGCAAACAAGTTTTAACCATGACTATAGCACCCTCTTGGTTTCCTTTATTCTGTCTCCAGTTAAAAGCCAGAGAGAGAAAAGGCAAGGCAGGACAGAGCAGGGTTAGCTTCTCTCTGTCAGCTAGAGGTTGCCATAGAGGTAAAGGCAACACTGAACTTGTGTGCCTCTCACTCCTACAGATGAAGAGGAACTGTCCATTATTTGTTGAGATGGCATATGAAGAACAAACTGCCCCATTAACACATTTGCATGCACCATTGATACTTCTTGAACTGCAGGTGACCTATGCCCAATCTAGCACCCTTTTAGCCCAGCAGTGCTGTCTGTCTTTTAACATTTAAACTTGTCTTTCTAGATAAATATGCTCCTCCTTATTATCCGTGATTCTAAGTTGACCCTTCTTTATTTCTTTGGGCTATGTTCAGCTTTCTTATTAAATCAAGAAAACCTGGAAAAGTCCCATATAGATTGCTTTGAAAAGCTTGTGTTAAATATTTCTAGACATTCAGAGTTTTTAGCAAATAATAAATTGCTTTGGTTTGTTTCTTATTGAAAGAGGCCTTTAGGCTAATGAAGTGACCCATTTCCACATGGATTGGCTCTTGGGTTGGATGGGGATTTTTATTTTTGTGCTGGGAGTTGGAGGCTTGGAGACCCAAGGAGTTTACTAACTTCTACAGCTGTCAAGTCATTCATGTCAAAGCACTGAGCAAATAAGCAAATATTTGGATCTGTGTGTTCTTGTTAACTGACACAGTGCAGAAGGGCAAGTTTGTAGTCAGCGTGGTCTCTTGCTACAGGTTGGAGCTGTGTGGATTTTTTCCCTCTTTCTGAAACTTTTATTTAAATTTGTTGTTAATACTCAGTTCTGCTGGAGCATTTGTGAAAAGTCAGTGACTGAAGCTTATATGCTTTAGAAACCATCTTTTAAATTGTTCAGTCAGTAATGAGACTTAATGTATTCAGAATAGCAAACCAACAGCTAAGATATTTTGCCCATGGGGGAAGAGGACTGTAGCGGATGGTTAGAGCTCTCCTATTACCACCAAATATTTATGGTACTTTACCAGCTACTGCCCTTTGCCACCAGCATCAAATGCATCTTTTAAACATAATTTTAAAATTAAATCAGCTGCTGATCCTTCATTTGTACACAGTGAGCTCCCTTTGGAGTTCAAGTCCCAGTAAATGTCAATCTCTGGTTTTAATAGAAAGGATTGGGACAAAATAGAAGTATTTAGCAAGACAGCACCCATTAAATGGAAGATGTAGTGGTGGAGAGTGGCTATTCTCAAGAAGCTGCACAGGCAGGACTTCTGGCAGGATCCAGCTATAAACCAAGTTTGTCACACTGCCTGTTGCAGTAGAAACCATGGATTGACAGTGCCAGCATTAGCACAATGTGCCATCCATGTGAACATAAATAACGTGCATAAGGAAACCTCCTTAATTTAGTTCAAATGTATCAGCAAACATCTCATTCCATAGACAGGCACCCTGAGGTGCAGTGCTTCATGTGCAACGACAACAAATATGTGGGTCCCTGAAGACAGAGTTGTTAATGCTCTGAGGGAGCGTATTGTTCCATCAGGCAATAGAGCCTTAACAACTATGGCAAGTTTTCAGACCATCTAATTTTAATCACAAATTTAAGATCCTAGACTTCTGTGTAGGCACTGAAAAAAAAGAGAGACCTTCCAAACTACCTAATTTAGGACACTGTCTTTCTTCATTGTCTCTATATGGACCTTAAAGTCAAATGGCGTGTCTGCCACAGTCCTTTTCATATTTACTGGCTAATATAATGTAGGTAAAAGATAGGCAGCCAATGGGAAATGAAGAAAAAAAAAAAAAAAAAAGGAAAAAAACAAAAGGTGTCAAAGTGCAGAATAAGGGTTACTATTAGGGCTAGTGTAACTAGGTAGATTATTACCACAATATGAAAGGCCAAAAAGAAAGGCAACTCACTGACAGGAGAGTGACCAACATCTGTCTCACTTATTGGTAGGTTCTTGCATTTATGCAGTATGAATTGTCTGGGTGATCTACATTTTCCATCTTAGATTGAAGTAACAGTCTAGCAGGTTGACTGTAAGGCTTTTGGCTAAAACGTTTGATTGAGTGTGGTAAAGACTTGTTTTGAAGTATGTGATCACCTTTGGGCAGTCCTGTATTCCGGTTTTTATGGTGGGAGAAAAAAAGAAAGAATTACAATTGGGTAGGGAAATGTTACTCTCACTGACTTACACAATTTAAAGCTTCACGTACACGTGATGTCCTTGTATCTCTTTTTACAAATGGTAATTTATTGATGGTGGATTTTAACATAAATGTGATTTCATCAATATAACTAATGGCTATGCTGCAAACATTTATACTCATTTTGCTGTTAAAAGTACGTCAACAAAAATACTTTCTCCTTTATGTTTTTCAGATTCCTGCTTCTTGCCAGCCAATGATCTCACCCACAGTTTTTCTTCATACCTGAAAGAGAGTAAGTTAAAATGTTGGTCTGGATGAGATGAAAATTGTATGAAAACCATTATGTATGCACTACTATTGCAGTTTTTATCTTCACCCCCAAATAGTTTTTAATTACAAAACATTAATAACTTCCAGGATTATAGGTTTTTGTTGTTGTTCTCATTTATTTGTTTGTTTTGTGACAGGTCTTGTTTTTCCGGCTAATTTTTACAAAACAACTTTTTTTTTGACCAAAATGTTTTAGAGTTTCTTTTAATTATTTGGGATTATTTGTCATAAGTAGTATGTGTATGTATACATATGTACGTATATACATATGTACGTATATGTATTACCTTCCAGTAACAATCTTGCCACTGCCTACTGACATGAACCAAGAGTATTTTTATTCTCTTTTATATATTTATATAGAACTTCTGGTCTGGTAAATGTTTGTTTGTTTGTTTTCAACTGGTTTTACCTGATACAAATTACCATATGTGACAAACGAAGACAGTGGCCTTGTCACCTTACCACATGTTGATTTTTAATGCTATCTCATTTGTTCAGCTCTATAATATTTCTGTATTGTATTTATTTTGGACATTTTATTTTCCAGTTTCTCAGCCATGACTAAATGTAAAACTGTTGCCAGAGATCCAGACCTCGTAGGAGTCAGCATGTGTGTTCTCGCTGCTGGCTACCATTCATCATGTACTCTTGCAATTTAAAATTGTGGCATGTATTTAAGTAGTACTTTCTGTAAGTGTGTATGTGGGCTTTTTCATTTCAGTCTGTCCTAAGTGGGCAAAACTCCGTAAAAACCACAAGGAGAAGAAGTCAGTGGTGATGCTGGTTATCTGCAGTTCTGCCCTTCGTTCCTTGGAACTCATCAAGTATGTCGATAGCAAATGTTATGTTGAGGTTGGCTGTCAGTCAGAGGTTTTGTCTTGGATCCACAGACATAAAGGCAAAACTGGGACACTGTCCTCTGCTAGCCAACAAATTTACTGACTGAAACTGATGCAATATCCCTTGCTGCTTTAAACTGTGGGAGTGTGGTGTTTGGTTTTAGACTAAAGTAACACTTAGTAGTTCAGTTGCATGTAAGTGCTATTATTGTTTAAAAAAAAAGGTGTAACCAATTTTGGGGAGACAGTCAACATGTTATATGTGGGAACACAGTAAAGCCGTAAAGCCATAAAGCATCAAAATGCACCACTAGAAGTAGTGACTGTAGAGCCATGATGCTGATAGCACCAAAGGCAATGAGGACAAGGCATTCTGGGGCCTCAAGTGATGACATGTGTGTCTGTCCGGAGTGCCTCCATATCTGTGTCTGTGTTCTCAGCTGTCTCAGGCTGACAAAATGTTGATGATTTTCAGTGTTCCCTGTCTTTCTTTTTCCCTTCTCTCTTCTCCCCTATCTCATTCATGAAGTCTTGATGAATTAATGTATACCTCACAGATTTCATGGTTGTCTTCTGTGTCCTGACCCTGCTTCCTGTGATTTTCTGTCAGTACACAGAGTTGGGAATTTTATGCTACAGATAACAGCATGGACATGGCAGATGTGCCTGTAATGCTTAGCCCCTGCATGCAAATACTACTGTCTGAGCCTTAGGTGTATGTATGCTTGTATATAAACCTTTAGCTTTGCACAAGTGAAATTTGAAAATTTGGCTCGGTCACTGCAGAAAGCGTGCAGAGACATTCCATAAGTACTGGATGTGTAGTATCCTGCTTTACTAATACCAAACAGAATTCTTAGTGTATGCTCAAATGGAGTATCAAAACAATAAGTCAGGTTTTCAGACAAATGAGTTTTGGTCAACTGGAATTTGGACAATCCCAACAGTAAAGACTGTGGCAGTATAGATTTACTCATCTGCTAAGCTGCAGGAAAATTCTGTAAAATCTACATTTGTACATATACAGCTTTTTCCTTTGGACACATGCATGTGGTCTGAACTTTTGGGTAGACCTGTGCGGTGTCAAGAGTTGGACTTGATGATCCTTAAGGGTCCCTTCCAACTCAGGATATTCTATGATTCTATGATTCTATGTGTTCATTGATGCCTATATGTCAGTAATGGCAAATATTTTAATTAGAATTTGTTGATTAGTCAGTTTTGAACTGTTAGCTGTGAAAGCACAAGCCCTAACTATTCAACAGTATCTGAAAAGCTATCTAAGCAATATTGCCACCTACTGATACCTGCTATTGTGTTTGTCCGGTTGTTGATCACTGCAAGTAGCAGATGAGAACGTACATAGCGTTCAAAGTACAATCATAGGTCATTGGGGAACTGTGTGTCTCAAGTATGTTGAGAAATGCCAGCTAGTTTTATTTTCCTCCTGTGTGGTCTTAATCTCAGCCCTGATGTTAGCATTTCCTTTTGCAATTTTTTATTTCTAGGTCAATGACAGCATTTAAAGGAGACTGCAGGGTTCTGAAACTGTTTGCAAAGCACATAAAGGTAAGAAAGCTGTAAGTGTGTTAGAACAGCTAACTGTCAAACACACAAATAACTTGCTTTATTTCATTTTTTTCCAGCGTCAGCATCTTGAGGGAGTTTAGAGCTAATTCAGATTTGTTCTTTTTCCAAATTCACTGGTGTCATACCATTTTCTTTGTAAAACATTTAACAATAGTGCTTTTCAATATAGTGTTCCTTTCTTCTAGGTGAAGCTTCCTCTTGGAAGGTTTTTGTCACAATTCGAGGAATCTAGCTGAACACCAACTCTGGTGCAATCCTGTGCAGAGTGTAGATGCTTATGCATGTGCTGCATGTTAAAGATGTTCCATGTCCATTTGAATGAGGTGCTCATTCAAATATATTTTGCCTGTATAAACCAAAAGTTTGGCAAACTAAAGGTTTACACACACATCCGTAGAAGCAAACTGTACCAGCACCCACATTGGCATATGCCAGTGAGATGTCTGGATATCCAGTATTTATACTTGTTGGAGAACACAATTTGTGGGAATATGGGAAGTAATGAGTGGAAACATGGCCTTTGATATAAATACTGTCAAACACACAACTTGCTTTATTTCATCTTTTTTCCAGTGTCAGCATCTTGAGGGAGTTTAGAGCTAATTCAGATTTGTTGGTTTTCCAAATATTTCCAGAGAATATACTTAAATACTGAAGAAAATAAACTGTTCTCACCTCCAGAAATAGTTGGTGCAGTTGCAGATTTTCAAAGCTGAACATGACTGACCTTCTAGAGAAGTGTGATGCCCAGCTGGCTGTTCCATTTCTTAAATGCTCTCCCAGAGAGATCATCTTGACAGCCTGAAAGATTAATAGAATTTGTTACTTGATGATATTCTAGAAAGAGATAGTATGTGATCTTGAATTTATTTCCAGCTCTTTGAGAAGAAATTTTGAATAGTCATGGTTTTACAACAGTTTGTCTTTCTCTTTTCAAATTAGATAAAAGAACAGATTAATATGCTGGAGAAAGGTGTGTTCCACATTGGGGTTGGAACTCCTGGGAGGATAAAAGCGCTGGTGGAGCAAGGTAGGAGAACAAGGTTTTTTTATCAATAAGTATCCTATTCTTGGTCTCACAAGAAGTTAGACTTTGTTTTTGAAGAGCTTAGGTTATGTGAGTCTGTGGTACTAAGCTGTGCAGTTTTCTACTGTGTCAGTCAAAATGAGATCAGTATTCTAATAGTTGATTTAATGAACCCTTTAAGCTGGAATAAATCAGTATTATGAGAGAAAAGCAGAGTAGCACCTCCACCCCCGGTCAGTACCCACTTACTCCCCCACCCTTCCTCTTGTGCTAGCTCAACTGTATGTTTGGCAGCTCAGTGAACTGATCCCAATTAAAACAGAACCAGCATGCACACAAAATTGGGTAATGAGCAGGCAGAGGTGGGGGACTTCCTCTTTTGTCAAGAATACTAATTTATGTTGACTTAGAAGTGATTGCAAAACCATGGTGTAAGATTTAAAGCTCCAGGAAACCAAACACTACAAGTAAATCAAAAGGAAATAATAGCAGAAGTCATTGTATCATATGTCACTCTGAGCTCAGTGTAAACTTTTCTGTGGGGTGGAGCAAAGATCTGGTTGCCAATTTCATTTCTGATTTGTATGTGATGAAATTAAATATTCTATATAAATATAATTTTCTCTTCCCAAATTTGGAGTAGTTTTACTTGCTTAACAGGCACGATGTATGCAAAGAAAAACAAACACAAAATGGCAAGATAAGGTGATTCTTTCCATTCCTCTTTCTAAGTACTGTCTTGCTTAGTCTGTGGTTTCATCAGGAGTCTATGGTCACTGGTCCCCTGTGGTCAGGGACTGTCTGTAGATTGGGACTCTACTGCTCCTTCCAAAGGAGTACAGGAATAGCATAATTTTTTTGCTTTCTCTGTCTTTCACCAACATTAAATTGTTACTGCTCAGCACATCAGCACATTGCCATCTCAAGTGGTATCAGTTTACGGCAGGGACACAAAGTGTAGTATTATTTTATTCTAAGTTCTAGTCCTTTTTTGACAATTTTGTGTTGCAGTGCCAGGCACCTAAAGAATGAAGAGGAGTGAAAAATGTTATAAAAATTGTGGACATTGTATAGAAGACTAGGGAACTGCTGGAGGGCCAGTTCAGAAAGGACCTTTATTCTCCAAACAAACAGTGGTTAAAGGAAAAAAAAAAAAAATGGTCCTTTCTGAATTGTCCCTCCAGCACCACTGACCTGTCTCATATTCACGTAGCACCCAGCCCTTTAAACTGCTAAACGCCATCAGTTCCCATTAATAGGATTTTTCAGGCTAGAGTCCTTGTAACTTACCAGCTCCTCATCAGCTGTGGAAATTCAACTCCTGTGGTTTCATCAAGAGGAAGCTTGAGGAATTATTTGCTGGCAGGATGTTAGCTCCTGACAAGCCTGGCAACAGTAGTTGTTCTGCTTTTGTGTTTGTCTTCCAAAACGGCATGGGATTATGTGGTTAAGGGAGTTTGCAGTGTCACTGCATTAGTTTTTCAACCAGCAAATGTAGTGCTTAAGTGTTCAAAGATTAGTTTCCTTGGGAACAGACAGCAAAAGATGTAAAACACAAAAATAATTTTGATAAGCACATGCTGTATTATCTTGGTAATAAAATTTCTATTGCTTTTTTAGATGGCCTGTGCTTGAACTCCACAAAATATATGATTCTGGATTGGAACTGGAGAGATCAGAAACTAAGGAGAATGATGGATATCCCTGAGGTATCGTATAAGCACCTGTGTATATTATATTCTCTGTACTCAGTACTTTTGATTCTAGTGCCTAGATCTTGGTTGGTAAGGATTTATTTCTGTAAAGATAACTTCAGAGGTCTAGAAACACAAAGAAGTCAACATTTTACTTGAAAGTCTGTACTCTCTGGTCTCAATGTTACATCTTGCAGAAGTTTTTGTTGATGCTGTTGTTGCAGGTCACAGCTGTGCTGTGAATTTCTCTTGTTTATGCTGGGTAGTTGTTCTGCCTGTTCCTGGAAAAGTTTCTCAGTAAGAGGACTTTGTGCAAAAGTTTCCTCAAAAACTAAGTACAGCTTTGGAGAGGCATTTATTGGTCTCTGTCTGAGAGTAAGATAACTTCTTGTGAGTAAATCTACAGGCAGTTCCCCTATATTTGGAAAAAGGGAGGGTACAAACTATGTAGAGCCATCCATCATCTGTAGACTCCTTTTAATATAGTTCCTCATGCTTTTCAGTTCTATAAGTGAGCTTTCACATTAATTGCTGTGACATGTTTACCGTATGCTGTGGGGAATCAGCTGGTACCTAGCCAGCAGAGTGAAAGAGGCAGATTGCCCTAGTCGTCCTTGCTAGGAAGCTGCCATGTTCCTGCACAATGTTTCCATTTTCCTGCACATTTAGAGCAGGTTAATACACATAATCGCAAGGGAAGTAGGACTTTCTTACATACAGATATGAAGCTTCACAAGTGAAAGAAATTGTCGGTCATTATTCCATCTTTGCACCTGCATGTATATTTGAATGTGCTGCATTTTACAGTCCCGCATACACAAAGATGCAAGTATCCAATAATCCTGGATACAGTGCCCTGCAAAAACATACATTGCAGAAATGAAGTAGCAAAAAGAACACTTTGTTTATTGAGTCAAGGAGGCTCCCTCTTGTGGTGAATATCTAAGCCTCTTTTGTACATCACTTGCGCTTAACGTGAAAGTTTTTCAAAGACCGGAGAACCGGAATTCATAGGCATGTTAGCACAAAACAGTAGTGCAACGTGTGCTGGTTGCAGTGTAACAGATTTTTGTAAACCAGATCAAGTAAATAAACACACAGTAGAATATAGGTGATCCACCTAAAATACATATATATATATATATATATATATATGTTGTTAATAATTGATTTGGGGCTATTGTGAACCTGGACAGTCCTTTTCAGCTCACTGGATGTAGTATTACAGCATTTCAGCATGTCTGCCTAGGAATAGAAGCCAAGATTGTGACTCTGGCTCTATTTTATTAAGGAAAAATAGCTGTCAACATCAAAATTAGAGAAGCCAATGCTCATGCTTAGTTCAAGCTAAAACCAAAGAAGTAAGAATATTGCACCTTCATATATAGTGTTAGTCTAAGGATAGATCTCTATATATCATTACAGAATAGTAAACATGGGATTACAAAAAGTCTTCAAACCTGCATTTGGTTCAGGTAGTAAACTATACAGAAAGGCTTTTGACATGTTGAGCTATGTAAGTGCAGCTATTGCAGCTATTTATCCTGCTGCAGACAGGCGGTAGATTCCTGAAAGTTATTTGTAAGGAATGTCAGTAATAAAGGATACCCAGATAATGCTTTTGAGGTAAAGCACCTTAGGACTGTAGAAGACAATGGGATGCTTAGCAATTTGCAGACTTGAAATATGGAATACAGTCTTAGGGAGCTAAGGACCTTATTCTCCTGATCCAGTGCTCTTTCAGTTGCCTCAACATCTCATTCATTAATGCTGTTGGATTTTTTTTTCTTTGTTCCTTTGTCTCTCATTTCATTTATCCTATATGGGGGGTAGAAGGAAGTGAAAAGAAACCTCACAAAGAAACCAAATGTAGAGTGAATGAGTTTATCAGACTGTTTTGGTGAGCTTGAGTTACACTGAAGTGTAGAGGTTTAAATAAAAATTGACTGTATACTTCCCAATCTGACCAAAGGACAAGTTTCCCACTTCCAAAACTTTCTGTATAGAGGTTGATGACAACACAGAGCTGTTTCAACTCTTCGAGTTACTTGTGAGATTTGAATGTGTTTTGTTTTTTTTTTAAAGCATTTTGCTAAACATTATTTTCTTCCATTTACAAATAAGCATTGAGCAAATTTCAGGTTTCATTAAAGCAGAAGGGTTTGTAAGAAATAGAGAATAGTTAGGCTTTCTGACATCATACATTCCTGTGCACAAAAGGATGTAAACCTGAGAGAAACCTCAGAAAAAAAGTTATTCATAAGTGGGAAGAAGGAACCATAAGGAAACTCTGGACTTACCACGATAGCAGAGAATCTTGTGTTCCTGATGAAGTGTGTCATTAATATTTACCCTCACATGCATTTGACTTATCTTTAGATAAGCAATAAGGTACAACCATGTCAGTTATAAACAAAAGTACTTTTGCATACGGCTCATGTATACCTGACCTTCCTGCTCACTTTCATTCAGGTGTCTCAGCCTCAGGCAACACTGGCTGTTACAGTCCCTTGGACTCGTTGATATTGGCTGATACTCTGGAAAGTCCTATAAAAATTTTGCAGCCCAGGGTAGATCTCTTGCTGCAGCATACTTTATCAACTCTGTATGAATTGCAACCTAATCTGTAGCTGTGTTAGATGGGACTGCGGGAGTCATGGTATTTGGCCAAAGAATTATCAGTAACCTTTGATGCTTTCTTTGATTTTTGTTTTCTTCAGATAAAGAAAGAAACAATTGACCTACTGGAGATGAGTATTATAAAGCTATGCAGAGAAGGGTCTGTGAAGCTGGGACTCTTTTAATGGTTTTACCTACAAGGACGTTGTTTACAGCTGCTTTTTACTTCTGTCTGCAACTGGCAAGTGATTAACAGTGATTGCATTAGGAATATTAACTTTTCTGAGGTCAAACAATACAGAAAGATTGCATGGTGTAACTTTTTCTGATGTTCCTTTTCTTTTAATAATAAAAACAGAAGTTTTATTTGTGATTTTAGTATGACTTATTGCCCAAGCAATGTGATACTGAAATTAGTTTGCCTTCACCTGCAAAATTTACTATTATATGTCACTTTTAAGACTTGGAAGATGAGCAAACTTAGGTGTGAAAGCCTTTGTATGTGTCAGTTATCTCCTTCTGCTGTCCCAAAGGAAACCTTTACTTCTCTCACTGGAGTGGTAAGCTAGTTCTTGCTTTACAGGATCTTCGGAAATGTATGAATGTCAGTAATTTGTCAAAAAAGTATTTTTCTCCCATCTGATCTACAGCTGACCAAATGCTATTTTATGCTATAACATGATACATTATGTTTAAACTTTCAGTATATTAAATTGAGACTTTATTGTGGTTAAACCATTGAGATGTGTGAAGAATGTTCTACTGTTTTTCCAGTTAAAAGGAGATTATCTCTCACTGGGTAATACTTTTATCATTTTGAAAAGTAGGGAATGGGTACACCTTTTTCATAGAAAGACAAGATGAATAGATGTGGACTGATTGTCAACATCTTGGAAGACCATATATCCAAATCAGATTGTTTTAGAATTAATTGTCCTATTGTGATAAAGAACACACAGCATTTTTACAACTTTAAATTGCATCTAGATCAATACCAATGAATGCAGCAGTAGGTTAAGGAAATTGGTTTTCCAAACCAATATTGTCTGTCTACTACTCTCAGCCCCTCCAGTCCTTCCCAGTGGTATCCAATGCAACTGGAGTAGATCTTTCATTTTATCCCATGCTTGGTAGCTGGTCAGCAAGCGAAGGGTGAAGAAATAATAAATCTGAGATTACACAGAAATTCCAGTAGAGTTGGCAGTATCCTTACAGAAGAATAAGACATAAATGCAACTGAATTTCCTGAACTGTGGGGCAGGAAAAGGCATATATTTAAGCTTTTTCAGGCAGCATGATCTGGACATACTGACCGAAGTACACAAACATCTGATTGGTACAAGCTGATCATGGTGATCCAGACATGAATGTAGAAAAGGAGGAGGAGAGAGATCTAGTTAATAAGTAATTCCTGGCTATAATGCAAGTCTGAACAAACAGCACAGTTTCCCAGCAGTGAAGACAGTATCTCAGCTTAAACACCCTCCAGTACAAGTATATTATTCCTTCCTCTCACTAAGAAGAATATGAAAAACAAGAAGAGTTTTGCTCCACAAGAAGCAGAAGCACGTCCTTCCAGATGTCCAGATAACAGTGCATTCAAACAACAGAGGCTACCGGCGTGGAAGCCCCAGCTTACCATTGCGACTGTGCTCTCCACCTTCTTTCTCACAGGAGCGTTTTGCCTTTCTGTGGGAATCTGCCTCATACTGTCAGCAAACAGCGTCAAAGAAATCCAGGTTTGTTTAGAGTGGGGTGTTAGGTGTTCTATTAAGAAAAAATCAGTCTATGTTTGGGAGAAAAGAGCTTTGAGTTTGTGCTTCTGGATAAAGAATATAGCAATGGCTTCATGCCTTGGACACGTCAAACAGACAGTATTTCTGTGAAAATCCTCAGATATTTGGTCACCAATGAAAGCCAAGTACTGGGTGGTTAACTGAGAAGTAATATACAAAATATGTGTGGGAACTCCCACCACTGGGTGGTAATATCTGAAATGGTGTTATTATTTTCCCGTTTTTTTGAGGGAAAATAAACTAACCCCTTTAATAGTGTTTGGCACTAGAAGATAAATATTTGCTGGGGCAAAATCTTAAAATGCAGGAGCCCTGATGTTTAAATGCTGTTTCCTGGAAGCAAAATTGGTTAAACCTGCTGCTGTTAATGGACTGCTGGTTGGAGCTGACTCTCAGCACTACATCCAGGCTGTTCACAGAGGGCGGGCCATAATTCCCATGGGAGTTTGTCAAGCATTACTTGGTTAGCCAGGCCAAGCTGCAGAAGTGCTCATCACTCAGCACTCCTTTGCCGAGGAGCAAATGTGGAGGTTCTGCAACAGTCATCAGAAGGCTCTAAAGCAGCTTTAAACTAGGGATGAAATTTTTGAATGTTCCATTGAGGCCAAGTCTTAATGCTCTATATCTCTGTCAATTTTAACAATGTCTTTGGCAATCCCAAATCACTTAGGAGAGAACTGCTCTGGGAGGTCTTGTAGCTGAAACACTAATCTTTTCCTGCATTCATGTCCTTTATTGTAATCTCCCTGCTTGTTCACTTCTCTGACAGATTAATTATTCAGACAAATGCTCGGATTGTTCAAAACTTCGTGAAAATTCCTTTAATTGGAATATCGAATGCCTCTGTTCTATTGATTTCACACTGAAGGAAGATATGCTGGTAAGTGGATATGAGAAACCAACTCGAGTGGCTTAGCACATCTGGTTATGCCCCTGCATGATAAAATATGCTAATTTTGCTCTGTAGAGCTCATGACTGAATTTTCTTTTTGCTATTTATAAATGTGAAATACTCAGAATTTTACACTTTTACATTTGCTACTGATTTTGGCATGTGTTAAAAATGCTCAGATCAGGCTGTCTCTGCCCTGGGACAGGAGATCTCTAAGGAGAAAGTAGGGATGGAGGAAATGGTGTTTGACTGTGGAGATTACTTCTCTTTTTGAGTCCATAGCAAACCCTTGATCTTGCCTGAGGTTAGGTGTTACTGCACTGTTAAGCTCTCAAATAACAAAGAAATCTGAAGCTCTGACCACTTGTCACAAGTCAACCATTGCAGTCCTTTTTTCAGGACTTGTGCTGTTAATACCTAAGGTCCTTGAAACAATTCAAGTCTAACAGTGTCATTCTCCACTTTCATTTGGAAGAATTATCTTTCGTTTTCTGTCCCAAACTTCTGGTTATGTTGCTGAGGCTGTTAGAATACCCCATATTCTGCCACAGGTGTCTTGCACTTAGAACTGCATAAATGATCCCTTAAAATTACGACGGTATTTATATTATAAAGTCACTTTATGGTTCTTCAGTATCAAAGAGATTGTTAAAGTGCCCTGTGAGTAATGGTTTAGATACAGTAATGTTTGAGATGATAAGTTTGTTTAACTGAATAAAGTTTTTTTAATAGGTTACTAAACCTCTTTGTTCCTTCTATTTGCCTGCTTAGTATTTTCATTTTAATTACAGGACTAATTTTTCCAAGGGACTCAGATAATTGAGGAGAGGGAGCCTTAGTTTTCGAAAAAAAATTCTGCAGGAATTAAGACTGGTGGCTGCTTTTTTGTTTGGGCATCTTCCTTTTACAGAAAATGGGTGTCTGTCTCCATGAAATTATTCATACTCATTGCTGGTTCATGGCCAGTCATTACCAGCTTGAGTAAAATAACAATCATGCAGTTTCATTTTAGAATTCATTTAGGGTTTTAAAGAATGTTTAATTTTGTGCCAAAATACAAAAACTTTCAGTTGGGGTAAAGGACAGGTTTTAGCCAGTGTCTGCTAAAGTAATTGATTAGAATGTAAGTATGAATTGAATTCTCTATTTCCCCCTTTTTTTTTTTTGTAAGTAACATGATTTCTCTTGTCTGCATGAGCTTACCTTATTGAAAGGATTTATCCTTGAATTCTAGGGTGATGTTTTTATGTACTATGGCCTGCAAAACTTCTATCAAAACCACCGTCGATACGTGATATCAAGAAGTGATGCACAGTTGTTGGGTCGAGAAGTAAATGTAAGTTTTTTCTTTATATTATGAGATCAGTATTTTCACCAGGTGCATCTTTGACCACACAGACAGCTAACTAAGTGTAAATTTCAAGGTGTTTTGAGATGGCTGTAGGGAATGAGAAGGTACAGATTTTCAGTGCTTAGTCTCTGCTTTTATGATTGCTAGGGCAATTATGTGTTATAAGTTGGAAGGTTGAGTGCATAAATAGAAGATGTCAGTCCAATGTTGTGGTTCACAAACCTGCACTGTATAGGGCTAATATTAAGAATACACTGTCTTTTAATTAAAATAAAAATAAAAATAAATTTACAGAAAGTGTTTCCTTCTAGTGGTTTTAGTTCTTTTAGACAGAACTCTTTTAATTTGTGTTTTTATTTTAAACTTAGGAAATTAAGGTGTTCAAAGTCTTTCATTTTGACATTTGGCTTTGGAAGTGGACCAGAAGTAGGGAATGGTACATGGTGAAACAGGTGATCATGTAGATCATGTAGCATTAAGAAATACATAACTTCGATGTTTGAATAGGAGGCTACTCAGCATCACTCACAGCAATGCATGCATAAAGCAGTTGGACACTGCGATCACTACATTAATGTTTTTTTTTAACTTGCATATCTATAAATAAAAAGTGGGGTTTTTAGGTTAAAAATAACATTTGTTAACATATATACAGTTCATGCACTGCCCTGTCAGTAGATAAGGTGATTGTCCCATAATAACCTGTTGCTATAAAATGTTTCTTGTAACTCTCCAGACACGTTCCCCATATAACTGCTTCTCCAGGTGTCCAGGCAGCTTGTTTGCATTCAGGTGCAACAGCTTTTGGCTTTTGTGCCAATCAATACACAGCTGATCCTGAGCTGTTTGAAAATGTTTCTGTGCTAAGACTTAGAGTTTGTAGTGAATTGGGATAGGTGAGAGGGTGACAAATTCAAAGGTGGGTTTTTGTTTTTCATGCTGTGCTTTCATGCTTTCATGCATCAAGATTTGGCCACGCTGAAGTAATGTGGCTAAATATATCTGCTGCTCTACATTCCTGAAGCAATGCAGATCAAAAATAAAAACAAAGAAAAATAAGATATTCCAGGGTAAGTCAGGGCTGCACACTGGAACATACTAAGTTGTAGCTATGTTACAACCGCAGATCACCAAATGAGTTTTGTAGTCTAGAGTTTGCAAGGCTGCAACAGAACTTGGTGAAGGCCTAAAGTTTGTATATTGAGATACAGCATGTGTTCCTCAACTACAGACCTATTCATTTGGATGTCTCTTTAATGTGACCAAAAGGTACTAGAGACTTATTCGGTGGCTTTTCAGAAGAAGTTGTGAGAGGAGGACATTAACACCAGCAAACTGAAACAAAATCCTACACGGTTCTTTGCCTGATTGTTCTGTGACCTTGAATGCAGGTTCAGCAGAGCTACTGTGCGCCCTTCACCACATACAAAAATGGAACACCGATGGCTCCATGCGGTGCTATTGCCAACAGCATGTTCAATGGTAAGTACCCTCCGTGTCCATCTTACTAATTTCCACTTGAAACTATGATTTGCTACCTCAATCCAGCTGAGTCCTGGTATTGCAAGATCTCTGTCCTTCTCCTACAGAAGGATTTGTTTGGCATCGCTGCAGTGGTGAGTATGGAGTTCTTCAGTAACTTTCCTCTCATCTTCAAAGTGAGGAAGATTTTTTATTCCTCAGTGTGATTCTGCAACAGGACTCAGGAATTGAGTCTTGGTGAAACAGGGAACAATGATATACATATTAGATTTAGTGTATTTTCTTGCTAAAATATCCATTCTGGTACAATAATCACAGAATCAAGGATTCTGTGAAATAATGGGACAACTCAAATTCTACCTTCCCACAATAGTGTGCTTAAAAAGAGCCAACAAGTTCTTGACACTGGTTTGGACCTTTGGATCTGTATGTTTGCATTTTGTTCTTTGAATGCTGGAAGCATCCATAGTCTTACATGAATTTATTTGATCCTGGGTTTCATCTGTATGGCTATCTGGAGGACATAATCTGCCTCTCAGTACATGAAGGCTAAAATCTAGAAGAGGGCTCCTAGCCATGAACGTTGGCAGATTTCAGAATTGATTTCTTTGGAAGGAAAGAAGAAAAGAACTTCTACAGGTTTTGTTCCCCTACCTCCTCCTTTTTCTTCCCCTCTCACTCCTTTTTAACCTGTTTCACCCAGCAGTTTTTGGCAATGCAGCAGTGATATTTAAAGTAACTGAGCCACCCCACCAGAGAGCTTGTGAATGGCAGCTTCTAGACCCATTTGATTTTCACCTGTGCACATACCTGCTCCTCTGGAAATCTGGTCTACTGGACTGGGCTGAGGCCTAGGCCAGCAGAGCTACCTCCATGCAGCCTGTGCTGTTCTGGAGCCCTCGCTAGCAGGACAGAATTCTCCTGCAGAAAATTAGGGATAAAAAATGCTGAAGGTAAATCTTCAAGTCTCTGCCTTTGCATCAGTCCTTAGTGCGAAGTGTGATGAAATGTTCCAGTTGCTGGTGATGTGGGGGAAGCTGGTGAAGTCTGAATGCTCACTCACTCTGGTTGCTTATTTCTATCCCTTTGCTGTGAAAGAGGGTGCTTCTGACAATTTAGCTGTTTGTCTGCTAATAAGGGAGCAGTTAAGCAGACAGAGCTCAGAGAATTGCAATTCCTGCTAGTAAACCAATGATAAGTAGATGGAGAATGTAGTGGAGCACACAATGATCATTTACGCAAGAGTGTATCTGACTGGCTTTAAGTGAACATAGTTTTAGTAATAGGATTTTTTAAAAGTATGTTTTCATCAATGTTCATGTCATTGTGTTCATCGTGTTTCCTAAAATGCAGCCCATCCCCATCTATGCCATCTAACCTCCCCTGCCAGTCATCACGTTGGCTACCTAGGTGTTTACATAGATGTTAATGAAACCTGAAATATTTTTGCCTTATGTTAAACTAATCCAAGTAGGATAATATAATGGAAAAGACAAGTGTTTTTTGTCCAGGATGACAATGCCCAGGATGACAAGGGTAATCACAATTTAACTAAATATTTTATGATTAAAGGAATGTTTGTGACCGAATTCGTTAATAAGGCCTCTAATTAGCATAAAACTATAGCAATATTTTCTCCAAAGAATCATCAATTCCCTTGACTGTGCTTTCACTTCTACTGTTTGCTGAAAACAAGTTATATATAACAAAACAATCAGTTTAGGACAACTGGTAAAGAAACTCTAGGGAGAGATAGCTAGGAGTGTAACTTCTGTAGCAACCTAGAGAGTTCCAGAAAGGATTTGTGAAGAAGTTAGTCATAGAGTTGATGGACACAAGATAGTCACACATATTTCTACACAGAGACTCAGTCAGATTGTTTGTAGGAGTATGCTCAGTCTTTAAAACTCCAGAAGTTCTAAGGCTCTAGCAGCTTAGTTCTACTTACGGAGTATATAATACTCCATACACCACCATGATAAAATCTTTCTAAGGATTTTTTTTCCTATTCACTTGAAAGGTGCATGTTAGTTTTGCTAGTCATATTAGACATCAGAATGACTTCTACTCATATACATTGCCTCTGGTATTCCCTACAGATACTATTGATCTTTTTTACAATTTTAACTCATCTGTTATTCAAGTACCACTGCTGAAGACTGGAAACAGTTGGTGGACAGATAAAAATGTGAAATTTCGCAATCCACAATCACACAATCTCTCTTCTGCATTTGCAGGTAAGAAGGATTCTACTGGCATTCCTTACTTTTCAGTGGCTTCCCTCCCTGTGTGCAGAGCTTTCCCATTCTGAAAAGGGAAATGTCTTTGGAAAAAATACCTGAAGAAGAAGCAGCTTTAAAAAGTGAATGAGAGTAGAAGACAGATTTAGCCAAAATATTGTTTGCTTATTACTAACGACCACAGAAATTGAGAGAAAGTGATTTTGTAAGAAAGTAGCCTGCATCAACACTCTCTTGTGCATTTTTTCTTGCAACATTTAATCTGTCCAGAAAAAGCAAGGATGTAGTCTCTGTATTTTCTGTTGAAAATATCTAGAAAGGAGAATTACATATCCCATTTCTCCTTCTTCAGACCTTGGCAATTGTGAGCCAAGTGAGACTGCCATCTTCAGCAGTTATTTCAAACAATTGTTTTCTAGGTCTGTTTCCTCATTAGGATTGATCCATATTGAAGTGGGACTAAAAGCACTATATTTTGGATCAGGGCATTGCTGTGCTGGATGCAATATGCAAGAAACTTTTCTCTGCCTCAGAGTTAATTATCCAAGTAGTTTTCATATGATAGATTCTAAATATCATAGGCTGTGCCATTAAAGTGCAAAAAAGTGCCTTTCTGGTTGTACAGGAATAAACTAATGTATAAAAATGAAGGTGGAGTCCTGAGGGTACATTCCTTGCTGAAGAGATGAGAAGCCAGAAGAAACAGTATCAGTATATTTTGTTTCTGCAATTCACTTTGTTTTTCCTATACTTGTGGCTTCTAATGCATACTGTTAATCTCTGTTCATTCGTGTTTGAGGTGAGTGGAGAACCAAGCATGTGGAGTGTTACCAAGCATATATAATTTTGCAATAACAGACAGAGTCTTGCGTTTGTTCCATCTCTTGTATTCTGTGTTGTTTATGAGTAGGCCCAGAAATTAGTAAACCGACCCCTGTTTATACTGACAGTGTCTTCCCTGTTTTTTTTTTCTTTTTCACCAGGGACAGCAAGACCTCCTTACTGGCAGAAACCAGTATATTTGTTAGATGAGGAAAATGAGAGGAACAATGGTTATATAAATGATGACTTCATTATCTGGATGCGAGTGTCAGCTTTTGCTACATTCAAAAATCTTTATCGTCGTATCAGCCGGGAAAGACATTTTGCTGATGGCCTCCCAGCAGGGAATTACACTTTCCGTATCTTGTATAGTATCCTTTCATATAATCCAAGACAATCCTTAACTGTTAAATGTTTGCAATGAGATGGAAGGGGATGGGATTTATATAGTAAAATGGCAAGGAAAAAAAAAATAAAAAATAAAACAAAAAAATAAAATAAAATAAAAAAAAAGCAAAACACCCCAAACCAAGTCACCATGAAGAGATCTAGCTGTTGTAAGGGTGACAAGATGCTGCAAGTAGATTGTCTCTAGCAGGCAGAGTTAAGACATGTTACTCAAATGGCAGCAAAGACCTTTGGATTTGACTTCTGCAAGGCAGAACATGGCAGTACTAGGTTTTACATGAGGGGTAAAACTGATGGATGGGAACCTGAAGAGACAGCTGAAGACGTGAATTTAGCTAAAATATTTAATATTGGCCTCCTCAGATGCATAGGCACCCTTACTGGGGTGCAAGAAATCCCAGAGTTATCCCTGCTATTGCAAGCTGTACGGGATGCCTGTGTCAGCAGAGCCCTCTGGCAGATTTGAGCCATGGGCTGATGGGAATTTCTGTGCTGGTGAAAATGCAATCTCACAATGAACAGTGTGATCTTTGCTGACTAAAGCCCTCATTTTGTCAGCAGGAGTTACATCAAGATGGCTATGAATTTTTACCCACTCAGCTAATACAGCTGTGATTTTAAATGTTGTAGCACAGTTGTGTTCTGAAAGGCTCTATGTAGAAAAGGTAAAAACATAAAATATTCTGGGTAGACAATGTTATTAAATAAAGGTGAGCACTTTTCATCAGTAAGAATATGTAGAGTATCATCACAGTAAGCTTCCCCAAAAGGCTCCTTTTCAAGTAAGTTTCTTCTTCTGCTTAAAAATACTATGGGTCCTACCAAGTTAGTTCAGTAGCAGTTACAAAAGTATGAATCAGAAATTTATAATAAAAAAATCCCAGTATTTCCAGAATTACATGGAGACTATCTAAAATAACTGAAAGCTGCTACTGTTTTGTTTCGTGGGTTTTGTTGGTTAAGAATAGCAGAGACTTCACAGGTCATTTAAAGAAATTTTTACAGTAAGTACAGATCTCTAGCTTCTTTACGCGTTGGAAAGGATTTTGAGCACTACATTTTCTTCAGCTGGAGATATGTAAACTTTATGAGTGAAACCTTAACATCCTTGTCAGATTTCCCTGTAACCAAATTCAAGGGGAAGAAATACGTGATTCTTTCAACCATGGTATGGAGCGGAGGAAGTAACCCGTTCTTGGGAATTGCTTATGTGGTTTGTGGCGCAGCAGCAACCCTGACAGGTTTTATCATAACTGCCATCCACTTAAAGCTCAGAAAAAAGAAAACATACTTTCAGAAGTAATAAGGTTTCCTGGATTTATAAACAATGGCAAAGGTTTGCTGTGAATGAACAGGCAGCACAGGCCTTTCATTCTTTCCCCTAAGCTCTAGATCAGTTTCAGTAACAGGTTTGGTGAATGTAAGCAAACTGAGGGGCAGTGCCCTTCCATCATCCAACACCAAACTTGTATGAGGCTGCATTATTATTAATGCATGTGTGCTCCTACATTTGTTTCCTAGGAAACTGGTAGTGAACTGACTTTCAAACAGGAGATACTGTCGTAGTTTAAAATTCAATGGCAGAGAAACTGTATGGTACTAATTTTTTGGCCAGAACTCTTGAGTCCATTTTCGTTTCTTAGCCTTTGATTGATACAATATTTCTAATGGCTTAATTGGAGCTTGGATTGGTAAAAAAGTGAGATCTTGCTCCAGAAAGCTTGAGCAGATAGAACTTGATGGTAAAGTCTGTTTGTTGGTTGTATGCGTGGGCTGAATGGCTTGGCTAAGGTTTTATACGGCTTTTTTTTCAGCTATCCTGAAAAAGCCGATAGTTTATTTGCATATCAGTGCGGTATATTCATCACAGTTTAATACTTGATTCATAATTGAATACAGGCCATTTTTAGGAGTATGGAGTGTGTTTAAACCCTCTTGGTTGGTTTTATCTGGGTACCAAGACTAGCTTGCAGAGCTAGACAGAGGGCGTTACAATTTAACAGAAAGTTTAATTAAAAGCTCCTTCGATGCTAACGTTTTAGCAGAAACATCTAGATAATGTAATCATTAAGCCACAGACCCAAACCTATCTAACTCACCCTTCTGTGCAGAAGTGCACACTGACTCTAAATGTCTGTTCCCCATTCAGGTTCTCATTTCTGTGGTGCAGAGACTCATAGTAAACATAAAACATCAGAAAATCTGACACCTTTATTTTCAGAAAATTATTGTTGCAGCCAATTAATAGACTATTATCAATTTTCATGTTTCATATTTGAAACACCTAGAAGCAGTTTCCAGTCTCTTGCAAAATGTAGGAACAACACTGAAGAATTTGGACCAAGTATACTATGGCATGTATGAATTTTTAAAAATAATTTCTCTGTTTCAGAAGAGGAAATGGAATAAAACGCATGCAATGAATTTCTTTGATAAGTATTCTGTGTGCCTCACTCCTCCTCACACACACACACACACACACAAACACAAAAACAACACTAAAAGAAGAAAGAAAACACATACTAGAGCAAGAGAAGGCAATGTGGCATAGGGAAGCTGTGTGACACTGTCAAGTCTGCCTTTAAAAATGTATCAGGTATTTAGGATCTTACGACCTTTGACAGATGGCCTCTGATTAATCTATTTGCAGCAACAGAAGGTACTGTTTCCTTTAATCTGTGCTTCATAATTGAGCCATGAGCAGTGGAAAGTGATGCTGCTCAAGTTCATAGCCTGGCCTGTTGGTACAAGTTTGCTCCATCAGTGTGTTGTATTGACATTCTGTGCTAATGCATGTGTCTGCTTCCACTCTTCCTGGTCAGGGCCAGTCACCTCCATCAGCAAACTGGAAACAGGGTTCCAGTATTTCAAACCATTGCATCTAAATCTGCCAGGGGCTGTGGGTGAAAACTATCCCTCGGTGGACCGGACGAGACAGGGCATGAAGCAGTATATTTAACAATGCTTAAGCTCATTAGTCTAAATCACTTCTAACAATGAGACGTGCTCCTGAACCTTCTAAGTGCTTTTGAAAATTTAATCCCATGCAGCCTTCTGGAAGGCCCTGATGGGAGCTAGTGCCAAAGCTGAACTCAGGATTTCTGGCTCCAAACAGACCACAGGACTCTTTTTTTTTTTTTTTTTTTTTTATTTCCCCCCTTCTCTTTTTTTTTTTTTCTTTCATTTTTTTTAAATCCTCTGAGAAACTGGTTTGCAGGAAATGATATATCATCTGGGCGTTTAAGTCACAGCACAATTGCCATTGATGTTATTTCTTTGTGGAATATCTGGTAAAAATGTTAGTAAAAGGAGACTGAATAATGAGGTATGTATTTCAGTAAGTCAGTGTCTACAAGAAAAAAATAATATTTAGAAAACACAGCCTAGCAAGCAGCGTTCACAGTATGTCCTTTATCTCCCAGAGGTTTGTGCAAGAACCTGGCTCATCTCTTGAAATGTGCAATGTCTTCAAACTCCTCCACAGGGAAAACCTGTCTTCAAACAAATCTTCCTCTGTCTATTACTCCGGAAGTTATCTAAGTCTTCATTTATGAAAATAAAAGTTCTTTTTCATCTTACCACAACTTTAAACACGTCTTCAATCTTTCTTGTACCCTCTGAACAGCGTCCTTGGAAGCCGCTACTTGAGCTCAGGAAGTTTCTGTTGTTAACTCTGAACAGCTCTGCAGTGTCTGTCTTGTCATTTCGGGTAGTGCTGCCTACCCCAGAACAATGGGGATGGCAGTTTTGATGAAGTACTCACAGCAGATGTATTTGGACAGAATCTGCCTTGCTCAAAAGAATGGATGGAAAATAAAGTTTTAGCAACCTCCTTACACTGCTTTTTGTGCCAGTGCTCCAGCTCTGCTGTTGGTCTGCCCCTTGTACCAGCACTTGCCTGAAGGTGCCTTTTCAGGATAATTTTGTAGATGTAATCCTCTACCTGTATGAAATGTTTATTGAAATTGTTTTATGCTGCCTCTGCCTTACTCCTTCTGCAGGGGCTGAAACAGAAGTGAGAGTCCTGGCTGGAGTACTGCCCTAACAACTGGATAGTAAAAGCCATCCTTAGTGCGTTCTCATTGTGGCGTGGGTAAGGGGATAATCCCCTTCTGTCATAAGCAGCTGATAGCGGCAGAAAGCACGATTTCAGACAAAAATCCAATGTGAGTTTGAATTAATTTATTCTGGTTAGTGATTATTAGATCAAATTTGATCAGGGAAAATAGATTTGTAGAGCAGAGATGTTGTAGTTTTGTTGAAGAAGTGTAACTTAGTTTTAAAGTACCTGGAGCATCATAACCATGCTATGCTTTTGGCACAGAGCTACTTTTGCCTTGCACATTTGATTTTACAAATTAATATTATATGCCTTGAGTAAAGGCAAAAAGAAAAAAAAAAAAGGTGCTGATAAAATTCTTCAAAAAGTGACTTTTAATAAGTTTATCTATAAAACATACTTCCACCAATACTAAGTAGGCATTTTTATATGAGATAATGTATGTAAACTTGTGGATTTGGTACAAAGATATCCTGGTTTAAGATTGCTGAGTCAACTTAAGAGCAGCACCTGGTAAGTGCAAACAGGTAAGTCCCTTTTTATTGTTGTTCGGTTTTGTTTTGTTTGTTTGTTTTTGGTCTGTGGTTTGTTGTTGTTGCTGTTATATATATATATATATATATATGTATGTATGTGTATAATTTGTTATTGTGAAGATGGCAGTTACACATAGGATAATTTTATCATCTGATATTCTGTAGTTCAGTTTTAACAGTGGCAAAAAATATCTAGAGGTAGAAGAATCCCACTATTTTGAAAACCTTATATACAATTTAAATCTCATTTCTAAATTACAGAGAGGCATAAGAGAGAGCTGTATTTTAATGTCAAAAACTGTTGTGCTGCTTTTGGTTGCCAGCTCCCTTTAGGGTTGAATTTTAATAGTATGTATATCTATATGGAGAGACATAAAACTGAAGTAGGAATTATAGGATATTTCAGTAGCCCTTCAGCTACAGCATTTTCCCAAGTCTTTTTCAGGCTTTACAATTACACACACACACATCCAGTATCTGTCTGTCTAGATTGTTGTTTTTTTTTTTTTTTGTTTTTTTTTTTTCTGTCTAAACATAGAGATTTGCTTATCTCATCTAAAAACTAAAGGATAAATCCTTCATGTGAAACAGATTAGCATGATCACAGACCTATAGAATCTGGAAAAATTAGTTACATGCCGAATCTGTTTTATATAAACAGCTGTGTTGCATTGTGATATTAATAGTAGTATGTGGATGGAGCACTATGTATTTTATTGTTGCATTACAGTGTTAAAACCCATTTCCTTTTTCTAAGAAATCAAACTCATACCAGAGTAAATTCAAGGAGAACACTTCAGGAAAGGGAGGGCTTGGGAAATTTTGATAATGTTCAGATTTGAGTTTAGATCTGAAATAGGAGAAAGCACTTGCTTCACATTATAAGAAGGCAGTGTCCTCCTTGGTTGAGAGCAGTATGGTGTGAAGTATGGAGAAAGCTGGTTTGAAAAGAAAACTGCTTTCACAAGGAGGAAGAATGGTGGAAGGGGCAAAGTACTTTATTTGCTCTTGGATAGGAGGCAAAGAGATGCCATAGGATGGTGTATCCTGATGTGATCTATAAACCCCATATACCTTTGGGGAGCAGTCAAGTTAAGTAAACAAAACTTACTGGTTTTCAGTGGATGGTACATGCGCTCTGAAGTACAGCACTTAGCTTTTGAGATAAGGTGTTTTGACTCAGTTCTCTCTAATTGCATTATTCCCTACAATTCCAAGAACAATTTTCTTGCGAGCTGGGAGTGCCTTGGGCAGCTGCCTTTGCCTTGGTGGCCTGTTTGCAAGGGAGGGGTTGTGGAGCAGTTTTTGTTTGCTCTCTCCCCAGGCTATGGGAAGCCAAGCAAAGGGAGAGTGGGGCTTGTTCGGCTTTTGCTTACATTTCATGAGCACATGAGAAATTTTTCTCTCTTTCCCCATATGGCCAGCTAGGAGAGGAAAACGACAATAGGGCTGATTGTAGTCTAGTGCAAGTAGAGACAATATTAAATGATATCAAAAGGTTATTGCCTTGCGAGTTGCATACCAGTTGAGAAACACCAAAAAGCAAAAGTTGCCAAATAGCCTTTTCTTTTTTCTGGCTCCTGTTAGATGCAGTGGACCTACAGCCTCTACTGAACACACGACACGATTTTGAGTAGAAGTATCTTTGGGAGAGGATTGCAGGTGGCTCTTTCTCCGTTACTGTTAGGTGGGAGGCTGTATAGCTGTTAAGTCTCTCTTGGGCTCAGGATTAGACTTTTAGGCACCTACTGCAAGGCTGTGCTTTGGAAATGGCAGCATTTGAAATGGCAGCCAGGTCCAGGACTTGCTGGAAAGGTGACCAAGGTGCCAGAGAGTCTGGGGGCAGGAGCTGGCTGAGCTTCTCAATGAACCATCTTAAACACCTGTCTCCCTCAGTAGCTGCAGGTCCAGGGGAAGTATGGTTCATTTTGGAAACACCTTGCTTTGTTGTTTTATGTTTCCTTCAGAATTAGTAGTTCACAAGAAACTACTTGAAATGTAGTGGTACGGATCAAAAAATAGTCATTTAGTTACACTCCCATGCAATTGCAGCCATTGTATCTGCGTTAAAGTGCCTGAAATGATCCCTTCCAAACTGAAACAACTAAAATACAACTTGTAAAAAAATGAGGTTTTCTACTGTGTCAGATGCAGCTATCCCAAGTTATCTGCCGTTTCACCATCATGATTCCTGTGCATCATGAGAAAATGTTCCATTAACAGCTCTGCTAACCCAGTTATAACACCGGGAGATTCAGGGTCGAAGATTAGGTTAAAAGTTCTTGAGGTTTCTCGGATTGCTTATATCAATCTCTGGGCTTTAGACAGACTGTATTCTTAGCAACAGTGAACCTGAACGCATTGTAAGAAGAAATGTGTCAAGAAAAATGGGGTGGTTAAAAGGAAAAGGCTGGGAAGTAGTGACTAACCCTGCCCATAACCCCATTTGTCATAACAAGTTAACATTTGGGGGACATGTACAAAGCTGCTGTCACTGCCTCTGAGGTACAACGTGGCAGCTATTATTTTATTTTTATTATTAGACAGTGCAGAGAGAGACTTCACAACAGCTCAGGACAATAATAACATCTGCAGCTCATAACACCCCTCCCCTTGGCGGGTGTGCCGAGGAATCTGTCACAGCAGCAGGGGACAGCAGCGCCGTGTCCCCCAGTACCAGCAGAAGCCGTGATTTAGCACTTGATGCTGGTGGTGCTTCATCCTGGTGGGTGGCAGGATGTGTCTCAAGTGGTGTAAAGAGGGTACATTCCTGCATGGGCTGGCTTTCGCTGGCCTGTGCCATACAAGTGTGGGCCGTCCAAGCGGCGTTTGGGACCCCTCCAGGGCCTTGCGCTGAAATCGGTGTGTGCTCTCAGGACGTCTTCATGGCTCGCCATGCATTGGACCTAGCCAGTGGTCTGAGTTGCATGCAGAGATAAATTACAGAACGGTAGAGAAGGGAAGGGAGTGTGAAGAGCACCAGGGCAGTGCTATGTGAATTAGCAGCATGCAGTTTATTGTGGAGGCTGATAAAATAATGTATGGTCTTAAGAACAGCAGTCTATGGACAAATCAAGTGTGGCATGAATGCTTTTGTTACCTCATTACATTTTGCTGACCCATCTCAGTTCAGATCTTTGCTATTTTATTTACAAATGGAATTTACACAGAAAGTGTCTTTTGGAGTACTGTCAGTTTTGTGAAACTTGATTCAGTTTTTACTGTTTTTTACCGTGGTTCTACGTTCAATGTGTTACTTTGATTGCAACACTGTTACTTTAAATTAAAATCTCTAAAGGTAAAGAATAGCGCAAGAATAATCAGTGAGTAATCAGCCAAACATTACAAGAATTAGACAGCCTATAAAGCAGTGAGGTTTCTGTATCTAAGGTCTTTCCTAGTCTTATCTTCTGATGATAATGAGCCAGGGCTGGAGATGAGAATTTAGAACAGACAAGCATCGGCTGTGCTCATGTGTAATTTTGGTGTCAGCCATCTCTGTCCTGACTGCAGACTGCATGAGGTTTTCTTTGCTATGTTCGGTAAGAAAAAAAAAAATCCAGTATTTACAGGCAAATTTCCATGTTATAAGATCACAATTGCTGGGTCTTATGAGATCTAGCAACGATCACAAGGTATTTCGACAAGCTTTCTTCATGCATTTCTCATGTCGTTTCTGGCTTTGCAGTTAATCATAAAAAAAGGCATTGATCCTGAATGAAGTTGATGAGCTAAGAAGTAAAGCTATGGATAAGATTTTATCTTTGCATATTTTTGTTACTGATAAAATGAATTAAATACAAGAATTGCTTAACAGATGTATAAATTGTAATTGTGCCAATGACTTTCAGGCTGTAGCTTGAGGAATTTATCATTCAGATTTCTGAGTTCATAACTTCACCTCAGGCAACCAGCGGAAAGCCAAGTCTTAGCTAAAAAGGTCAAGAGTTGCTTTTCAAAGGGAGGTAAGAAAATTAGGAGACAGTGCACAAGCCTTTTGGGCACTTTCATCATTTTTGGCTTTTTCAGGATTTTGATTGAAATGCAGTGGAATGTCTCACAAAATGTAAGTAAATAGACTACCTTTTAAAATTGGGGGTTGCCCTGAAACTTACCTGTTTTGTCAGGAATTCTTATAAACACTGAAGAGGTGATTGTGAACATGTTGTAGAAAGAAATGAGGTAAAAATATGTCAGGTGTAACTTTAAGTGTTCCTAGCGTTCCGAAGGATTGATTATTTTCAGGAATGCCTTTGATTCAATAATTGCTTGATTAAAAAAATATTCCCTTCCTATGGGGTGGGTATAAATTTAAAGTTTCAGTACTGTACCAAAGTTAATGGAGTTGTCTCTACTGGAACCCAGGCTGTGCTTCTTTTATAAGAAGTGGACCAGTAGCTCGTAAGTGACGAGGCGGCCTGAGCCATGTATTTTTAATGCTGTCTTCACTCTGTCTGGGTCACTTCTGCTTCAGGTAGTTTGTTTGCCTGATGGTGGTACTGAAATAGCACAGTACCAAGAAAGGCAAGTAGTGGTAACCTGTGAAGCTGACGAAGGCTGCGTGTGAGCCCACGGCAGGAGATTTAAGGGCTGGTCAGGGCTGGAGCATTCAGTATGGCTGGGGGGACTTGGACAGTTTTGTGTTTTTACAGAGCTGTTCCTGGAGGCTTTCCCTCAGTGGGAAACCAAGGGGGCCTTTGTTCTGCATTTACCCTACAGATTTCATAGGTGCTACCACTATAAATACCAACATGTTGGCAAGTTTTCCTCAGCCAAACTTCACTCAGACGTTACTGTAAGGATGATACGTGCAGGCTGAGCATGATTCCCCTAGAAATTAATGCAAAAAGGGAAGTCTTTTGTGTTGAAGTACTTGTTCTTCAGACTTTATTGTGCTAAGAGTAAAACCGCTTGCTCTTTTACTAGGAAAAGGTGGTTGTTTGATGCCGGCTTTGTCCAAAACCGCACCATACTGCGGCCGTGCCCGTTGTTAATGGGACGGAAAGTGTACCAGTACGGGCAGCAGGGGAGCCCTGTGTTGGGCAGCGACGGTGCCCGCCTGCCCGCCCAGCGGCCCCTTGCCCCCGGCCGTCGCTCCCTCGCGCGGTCGCCACCCGTGCAGGCGACCGGGGGGCGGGCTCCTGCGCCGATCGGCCAATAGGAGAGCGGCGGGCGGGAGGAGAGGTGCAGGTTGTAGCCAATGGGGGCTCGAGAAGCTGAGGGCGCGCGGCGGTAACGGTCACTCGTGGAGTGGTGCCTGAGGCGGCAGGGGACCGCCGCCATGTTAGGGGGCGGCTCGGGCAGGCCGGTAGCTGGGCGTTGCGGAGCCGTGAGGGGAGCTTGGGCTGCGCCTCGCCTGAGGCAGCGGGTGAGCTCTGCTGGTGCGCCAGCGCTGCGGCCGTGGGTACGAGGCGCCGCGAGCGGTACTGTGCGCAGGTCCAGTGTTGGGTCAACCGTGCCTCGATACGCTGTGTTTGTGAACAGTCACGTGCATTGCGTTGTTGTTTTGTTTTTTTTAAAAAAAAAATTTTTGTGTGTTTCGGCCTGAACAGCTGGATCGGACCTAATGTACAAACAGCCACTGTGCTGCAAGCTTAGGGACTCTCAAATCATGAGTGGCAACAGGAGTAACATAAGAATGTCCATTTCTGCAGCAATCTAGTTTAGTACCAGTTCTCAGTGCCAGCCATGTGCTAGGAAGGAGTGAAATGAAAACCTGGTAAACAGATAATGCAATGTGGTAACCGCATCCAAGCGAGCACAACCAACACACCACATCTAATCTGGTATCTTCTAGGTTGAGATTTGCATCACTAAGTCAACATGTCTGCATCTGTTTTAGCTATTCCAGATGCCTTTATATGGACGAAGCGTATTTGGGCACCGTTTATTGTTCACTAGAAAAGAGCCAGGGAAGTTGTTTTGTTTTGTAAGCCTAAAAAATGTATGCTTCCTTCCAAACTCAGTTCACACATACCATGGGTGAGCCTCACTGGTCAATGAAGTGCCTGAGAGGAAAATGCTAGATTGATCCTGGCATTGGCCAGACATTTGCTCTTTACTATTTTTTTCATTTTTAGTAGAAAATCCAAGAGGTCTCTGATTCACTTATTTTTAAGGCCTTTTGAATATATCTTTCATCTGAAAATACTTTTATTAATGAAACAACACACTACTAATGTATCTTAATAATGCTAATAAAAGTATAAAATGTTTTTAATAGAAATAATGATGTTCTGAACTGAACAGTACCTCATTTATTTGATATGAAAACAAAATCAACTGAATTCTGATGGTGGGTAATTATAGCTTTAAATGGGAAAATATTTTTTTAAGTCTGACTCAGTAGGGATTTTTATAAGCATTCACCATTACATATTTAGATTATAAAATCAGGATCTTATTTTGCTAATCAGCCTCAAAGTAGCTAGTAACAGGATCTGCTTGTTTTGTTTCCATGGTGTTGTCAATGCTATGAAGAAATAAACTTCGAGTTTGTGGCAAAACTGGCTTGCAAACGTATAGGGAAAAAAATGAGTAAGACAGTGGCATTTTTATATAAGTGTTTTATGCAGAAAAAAATGTTGTTTCAGGTGTTCTTTTTCCTCAAGTTCTGTAAAAATAAGGGCTTGTTTTTATTTTTCAGAACTTTGTAGCACAACCTTGAAATAGAACTACTTATAATGTGTACCTACATACTAATATATATGTGTTGACAATAAGTCAACAAGTATTGTAAATACATTCTTCATGCATTTGTTTATAGATGACAGGGTAAAGAAGATTAGCTTTTTAATGTTAAATTTCTATTTGCTTCTATGTGAAGCTTCATGGTGAGAAGGCATGCAAACCATTTCAGCTTCTATGTGATCGAAGTCTGAAGACATGTAAAAAGGAATACCAAGTTAGCATTTTCTTAGCTCTTTGAAGATATTTTGAAATACCTGTGTTTGAATTGCAGATTTTGAAAATAGCTTTTCAATTGTATCTTACATTGTAACACAAAAGGAAAAAAGACCAACCTTGTTGAAATAGTGTTAAATTGGACATACAGCTATTTGGAATTCCATGTGTCATTCTGCTGTCTCTGAGAAGTCCCACACCAGAGATCCTGCAGAAAACTGATGTTTCAAAAATAAATCATTTTTCAGAAAAACATCCCAAAAGTGAAATAAATTGGCATTGTTCACACCAGGAAAACAGCTTCCTCATACCCTCCTCTCTTTGTATCAACTAAGTAATTCATCACTAGACAAAGTTTTTAAAGCTGTGGGTTATTTATGAAGGAGGATTCCAATGGTATAGTTGGGCATACTCATTTGAACTGTGATGCACCTATCCTCCAGACTGATAAATCAGAGAAGTCACTGGGGGTGGAGACTTAGCAAAAAACAAGTGTCTCAAATATATATTAAAGAAAAAGATTAGCTATGCCAACATATGTTAGAGTCTCTTGATGTCCAAAGTGCTGTTGGCATTACAGAAAATGAAAAACCAGTGACATCATTTACAGCTGAGGCTAAGGGAGGTTATCTTTGAATTTATGGGAAGGCTGGTATCATGACCTATGCAAAAAATATTTTTTGAATTATATAATGCTAACTCAGCCATACAAATGCCCTATAAAAAGTCAAATGTGGAAGTAAACACAGGTTTTGATAATACTAATATAGTTGTATTTAGAGTGGTCTTTGAGGTTGACTCACTGGGAACTGATTTTGCAGGCAACATTATTAGTGTTGAGTATCATGTGGCTATTCATTTCATGACTGTATGCGTTTAAAATCTGATGCAGATGCAAAAATCATTAAAACTTTTGGAATTATGAATAATGGTTTCAGTCTCTCAATGCGGACAAATTTAATATCTGCCACTGTTTTAAGTGGGAATACTGCCAGTGGAGGTGTAGTTTTATGAGAGAAGTTTGGTTTAATAATCAACATTTTTCCTTGCTTTATGGAGGAGACAGTTCTTTGTGTACATGGTTCCATCTTCCTCTCCTGTGTAGAAATATTGCTGGACAGTGTTGTTTTCGGCATGTGCTTTTTGTGAAGGATTTGTCAGTGTTTGGAAGGCTGCTCTTCACTAGTAATTATTATTATTACTGGAAGAATCTCTAAAATATTTCTGTTGTGCAATTTACCCACTAGAATTTAGTACTAGAATTTACCCACTGCATACTGTATGTGGTGCATGCTGATTTATATGGTGTTTATTGTACCAGCTACAACTTAGGACAGGAGGTCTTTTTTGCATGCTTTCCTGAAGGAAGATGACTTTTCAAGGGTCGTAGCTAAAATGCTGTTACGCGGGCTGAGAGCTATGAACCTCATTTTGCTACATTTGTACATCAGTGAGTTTTTGGACCAGTTTAATGCTTTCTTGTTGCATGAAACTGGGGCTGGGAAACCATTTAAAGTTGTGAAACATTTGAGCTTCACTGAGGAATACAAGTTTTTACTTCCAATTGAGCAGTCATCTTGCACAGAAAGAGACACTGGATTAAGTTTCGTTTTAATATATGTAGTTTAAGGGACATCCTCTGGGGTTTCAATTTTTTCCGCCATTTTAGTTTTTGTTCCAAAATTGTTGTCATAAAATCTGAACAAAAAGGCAGAGGCTTGTTTGCAGTATTTTATCTCGGTGTCTGGAGAATGTTCTTTGTTTTGTTCTGCAATTGCAATCCTGAATGAGTCCTGAATGTATTCTGTCATACCTCTTCCATATGTCCAAGTGAGTTTACATTTGTGTGTGTGTTTTACAATGCTGTTATATCTGATACAGAATACTACTTAGTCTTCACAGCTGGAGCTACAAGCAAATCGTGAACCTCAGCAAAGGTCCCTTGACCCAGACATTTTCTCTGCTGTGTCGTGAGAATGAACAGTACGTCAATTAGCAGTTAAAGACAGGTACTGTTCTCATGCCTTTCTGCACTTCTGTTTAAGGTATCGTTATGTGCAAGACTGTAGTGAATGTAAATTATCCGTTTCTGAATGCAAATTCTGAAGCAGCTTTGTGATGGGGTAGAGTTCTCTTGGACTTCCACTTCCCATGAGCTCCCTAAAGAGCAGAAGGGCTTTTCAATTCAAAATCCTGGAGCAACTTAAAAAGGAGAGAATAAAGTGACTAAGGCAAAACACATGAAGACACGATAAATCCTGTATGTTATTGTAGTGTAGGTTTCAGTTCGGTTCAGGCTTCAGCTTGGTTTCAGGCTTGGTTTCCGTAATGCCTGGGTTTGGCACTCTCCAGCCTGTTGGATGCTCTGGTGACCACTTGTGCAAGGTGGTGGTGCCTGTCAGCAACTTGCTGCTCTGTGTGGGCTCTGGCTGAACTGCAGGGCCCCTTTCGGAGCTCCTCTCCTTGTGCCTTGTCCCACCCCACAGCCTGGAGGATGCACGCCTCCAGGGAAGGCTTAGTTGCTTCCCCTTTCCAGAGGATACATCCTGATGTGGCGGCATCTTTTTCTAACTTAATAAATAAAGTAGATTCTGTCTATTGCAGCCTCCACTGTTACTGCTCAGTTAGCCATACTGTTTATTAGAATGAACTACAGCCAGAACAAGCCTGAGTGAAACTGGTAAAATGTTAAACCAAATGCATGACATTGGTATTTTAATCGAGGCAGAGAAGTGTGAGACAGTCACCATTTGTTAATTTTGGTGTTTTTCTGTAACAGCCTGATTTCTTGTAAGAAAAGGCTTTCCTTACACAGTTACCATTCCAAGTACCTGACTCGCCATGATAGGCACCAAATGATCTTGACAAGATCTTTTCAGTCACCGGTGGTAGAATTTGAACTGTAGATAATCATAAAAAAAAATATTTTTTTTCTGGTCAGTTTCTTTGCAGTGTATTTTATGTGACAGACCAATCTGGTTTTAAAGTAATTCTCAAGTCTTCTGCCTGCACTGAGTTTTCCAGCTAAAAGTGAGGTTCTGCTTTCTCTCTCTGAAGTGTGAAGGAGTATAAAATACTGCTGGCCTTTTTGGTTTGTTTGCACCCTGCTCTTAATTGCTTTACTTATTGCCTCTTAGAGGTATGTGTGAAACTTGTCTGCCTTTTGATCTTGAACAGCTACAAAAGTACTATGTTAAAGGTCTTCATCATTTAAAATTCCCTCTGCTCTGTTTTCTTTGTAGCCGTTCCTCAATTGTTCCTAATCATTGCTATGAAAAACTCTTTCCCTTGTCTCTTTGTTTCACGAAATGCAAAACAGATAGCTTTCTCATGACTTTAGCAGCTAAAGAATGTCATTTAACTGGTGAACAAGGTTGACTCTTTATGCCATCCATGTTGATACTACTCCATGGCCATCAGGACTGCAGGATTTTGCAGTTGTTGACATGTCAGGGAGTGCAACCAGCTTTTCAGTACTATTAATGCAGACTCGGTATGTGCATTGTGACAGATATATCTTCCACTGCACTTTTTTCCTCTCTCTGCCTCCACCTGCTTTCTTTTCCGAGGAGCTTTGTAAGAAGCCTTGGTGGCTGCATTCTTAGGCTTTGCTTGTACTAAAGGAACTACTTGACTTACCACAGTATTTTCAAATCCTTTGTATTGTCCTTTCTTGAACAAGTTGAGACTTTCTGCACTATTCGCTCTGCCTTTTCTTTGCCAAAAGTCAAAGGCCAATTTCAGCCAAACTTGAAAGAGCACTTTTTTTTTGTTTTTCCTTTTTAAAGTGGATGGCTTGGGGATAGAAACCCAAAGGAATGCTTCCTGCTGCACGGCAGCAGTTTATATTGGTACGTACTGCAGGCTATGGCTCTTCTACTGATACAATGGAAGAAAATTAAAAAGTTTGTAGAAATGGTAAAAAAACTAATTCACATTGAGTGAGAAGCTGTATAGGGTGAATTCTGAAAGTTGCTTTTTTCCTTAATGTGAAATGAAGTGATTATTGGTACAAAAAAATTCAGCAGCTCATTGGTGGTATTTTTTAGTCCAGCTGAGGACTTTTTGTGAGAGCAAAGGAAACCTATATCCTGATTGTCTGAGTGTGTGTCGCTGTGCTGTTTGGCTGTTCTGTTGACCAGGCTGTGAGGTCAGCACTTCCCTCAGCACTTGGGTGCTTGATGCACTTAAGAGAGGCCACAGCAGCTTCCGGGTGCAGCACCTGGGTCACTACTAATGATGGAGCCGGTAGCAGCAGGTAGTCACATTGCTGGCTGGACATCCCACTTCCCAGGTGAGACACTAATAGGAAGGCTTACAATTACTACAGTCACTTACAACTTGAGTTTTAACTTTGTTACCAAATCCTGCTTACAGCTGCTACCCATATTAGCAATGTGGTCTATTTCAGAGATGGGTAAAGTGACCCGACAAAGCCATTTTTGCAGAAACAAGGTTGCTTTTTAAAATTTTTTTAATGCAGAAAAAAATCCACCAGGATTTATGAAGGTTAAGCAGTATAGAACATATCTTTGAATCTACTTTGAGGTGTTTCAAAATTAAACCTTCAGAATGGTTTGCATCAGACCTACTTCTGTGACTTAAGAAATAATTTGACCCAATTGTCCATGCATTTTTATCAACTGTTTTAGATGCATATCAGGTGTTTGATAAACAAAACATTGGTTTTGTTTTCTGCTGTTAAAACTCAATTTATGTATTTATTTTTTTTGTTTCAGAAAGAATCGTGTCCTAGGACATGTCCAATGTGGAAGAGCCTCCCTGAGCAGAATGGTCTCTGGCACTCATCTCATTGTCACCAGAAGCTTGCTTTGGAAGAGCTACAACCATGTGAAGCTGCGCCTTGTTCAGGAGCAAGGTAAGTGACCTGCAGGCACTTAAGAAATAACGTAAGATTTTATAATAGGCCATAAATAAACTGTCTGACAAACATGCACTAGTGCAAGCAAGCTGCAAGATTAGAGAATTATTGCTTGAGGAAATCTTTTCTGCGTGATCTGTTCACTTGGAATAGAAGCATTGCTGCATTGTATTAGCGTGAAACCTGACTGTAGGTTTCCACTTCAACTTTCTTCGCCAATAGCATCCTGA